GTTCGCACTAATCAAGGGGCAAATATCAATCGTATTATAATTTCTTCGACTAGTGACTCAAATGACTGGCCTGACAAAAAGTGCATTTTGTCTAGGGGGGCTGTAATTTTTTTATACCATACCTAAACCTTTTGGGTGGGACTTCTAAATTACTTCCGTACCTGCCCCCTTTAGACCATTGGTTCCCAAACTTATTTAGGACGCGTGCCCTTTTGACCATACACAAAATTCCACAAAAGTCTGTATTCTGCAGAATGCATTCTCTTAAGAAGAGAAAGAAGCGGTCGTAGATTTTTTATACTTAAGTACACAGATGGCCCGCGCCCCCTAGACCTAGTGAGGCTGATTTTGTATTATAACTCTTTAGAAAAAATGCCGGAGCAAAGTGATTTCTCACGTTTTGTAACTTTTATTTATGGGAGATTACGGTATTTATGGGAGCTATTTTAAAACAAGATTCAATTTTTAAGCTCTCCGAATATCGAAAACATAACTATTTTGGTATCTGTTTTGGTATAAGTAAATCAGTAGGGTCTCTTCGCGTGTTTCACAAAATCAGCAATTTAATAAACAAATGTCAAAATTCAACATTTTTGTAGGCAATTTAGATTTTGTTGATTGTGTAGGTGTTGCCGTGTAGCCGGTGTAGGGCAAAACATGCGAATTATAGACCCGGCTTTATAGCCCGACCAGGAACATAAAAACCCTCGCCATGTTGCGGAAAACTAATGGTACTAATTTCTTTTAATGGCAACAGTATAGTTCCAAAATACTGGACTGTCCTGTCGATGACAATGACAGTGGGGCGCCACCGTCAATACCGGATCGCTGGTTCCGATTTTTGCCATGTTGGAAACCATATAGTTGAAGGATGGTAGCGCCCCCCTGTCATTGAGTTTGGTGGGACAGTTCAGCGTGGGTCATCTATAATTGAAAACTTCATTGACATGTCACCTTGTATAAATGTCAGTCTATTGCTGTCAAAGTGTAAACAAACTGATCATCACTTACCATCAGGTGAGATACAGGCCAAGAGCTTCCTCGTTGTGGATAAAAAAAAAAAAAAACTTTATTTTAAATGTACGCAACTGATTTTGTGAATTAAATTGCTAAAATCTTTTTATAATCATGAAAGAAAAGTGGTTCAGAATGTGTTAAAGTATTTGTCGAAGAGAAATACTAAGGGTTCGGACAATATTTTCATTGAATAATGTTTCCGACAAAGGTTGTCAAATTGACTGACATGTTTATCGTATAGTACAGTCCACTATGAAAATTAGCTGTGGTTTGTTTCAACTACCTATTTTAAAATTTTTGTCACTTTCTAAGTGTTGAATTTTATGGAATTGGGAAAGAAGTACTGTTTGAAGCATTCATGAGCAGACATTGCAGTTGAATATTCAAGTTCTGAATTTGATTATTGATGAATAATAAAATAAATCCTACTAGCTCGATTGGTGGTTTCATTTAATTTATTTAAACCAGGTTACCTATAATATGTTTTCGTTAATTTATGAAAATATCAAATTAACCCGTAATCCTGAATCCTGACATAAAGTTAGCCTATTAATTTAACACAGGTACGACTGACTGTACTCAGTGTTGCACTATCAAATGCAACTGACGCGCCTCTATGCCAGGGTTTTTATGTTCCTGGTCAGGCTATACTTGAATTACGTATGAAGAAAATATTTAGCCAAGAGGGAATATTTTTCCCCGTATGTATTTGATTAAGGATTAAGTTGATCACCTAAACTCCTTCAACACATGTGTCTATTTCTACAAAAGAAAAAAAAAACAGCTGACAGCCATGACATTGACAGTTGACAATCCATAAATCAAAATGTTATCCAGGGTACGGAAACTTCCATACTACGATCAAACTTGCTTCCAAACAGCGACTTCAGTCGATAAATTCCAATACTTTTTTTTTTCTTTATGGCTCTCGCGGATTGCGTTTAGCCACGACAGGGTTCTTGATTTTTGCGTTCAGTTTTGCCATAAGTTTTGCGGACATTGCGTTTAGACAGGGTGGGATTGGGTTAAAGTTAAAAGGTAGGGAAACGAATCAATTACGGATGGAAACGGAACAAAGGATGGTTTTCATAGGATCAATTTAGGTGTGATATAATTACAAAATAATAAAAATAAAATAATATTTACATAAGTACAATATACATTACTATTTACAATTTTATATTATTATGGGTAATAAATTCGGCTAGGATATTATAAACATCAATGTTATTGGTATATAATAGGCAAGTGATGGATGTAGGAAAAGGAATTTTAATGGCTAAAAGAGAACTAATAAAAGAGGAACGATCATATAGGCAACAGTAAAAAAATATGTGATTTAAGTCTCCGACGCCAGAACCACAAATGCACGAATCATTATCAAGTACATGAATTTTAGCCAAGTGTGCTGGAGTGCACACGTGACCAAGTCGCATTCTAGTTAAAATGGTAGTAACTGTTTTGGAAAGATTCATTTTAACAAACCATGGTTTACAAAGGATGGATGGTTGAATGAGCTTGTAATGTTTCCCCTTAGATTGGCTAGTGAACTCCCAATTCTCATCCCAGGCAGATTTGAGATAAGCTTTGGGAAGGGCTGCCGTTAAGTCATGGCAATAATTTGTGTACGGATGTATATCTCCACACTCAACCGCTTCATTGGCCAGCTTATCAGCTTTATCATTTCCTGGAATATTGGTATGACTAGGAATCCACGCAAAATTAATTAAATGACTGTTAAGACTACATTTGTGAAGTAATTTCCTGCATTCTGTAATAATAGGATAATTAGTATTGTTCTTAAATGGAAATTTATGTAATGCCTGCAAAGCACTTTTAGAGTCACAAAATTTACAGTTTTGTTTAATTTCATAAGGAGAGCATACTCTAAAGCCTTAAACAGTCCAAAACATTCTCCTGTAAAGACTGATGATTCTGGAGGGAGTTTTATTTTCTGGACAATATGATATTGTTTATGGTATGCGCCAACGCCAACATGACCCGTTGGAGAGTGCTTAGATGCATCGCAATAGATATGATGCCAATCGCCCCAGTGTTCGTCTACGATCTGATTGAACTTAATGTTAGCATTGTAGTCATCCTTATGTATGTCTAGGTTGAAATGAATTGTCGGAGTAAGAATAAGGGATTCAACAGAAAATATCGGAAGAATCGCCGTGTGGTGACGGCAGAGTAGAATACATTTGTCACCAACCCCTACTCTTCCCGCGGGTGTCGTAAGAGGCGACTTAGGGACTACACAACAAACAGAGAATGGGCAGCAGCGCTCTCTGAAAAACATCAATCTTTTAAACTGCGATCTCCAACCCGCCTGCCAAGCGTGGAGATTATGGCAAATCCCTCCACCATAGTGGAGGAGGCTCATAGTCCAGCAGTGGACTGTAAAGGGCTGTTGATGATGATCGGAAGAAAGGAGGTTCTGTAGACTGGGGCTTGGATTGATATAAATTTACGAAAACTAATAATCACACAAGGAGGAGATTTACGTGACCAATAAGAGGAAGTATCAATTAAATCATTAAGTCTGTTGAGTTTGCTATATTTATGATGGTCAGCAAATTGAAGTACACGGAAAAGATACTTGTCACATAAATATTGGCGGCGTAATTTCACTGGGGGCTCAACACATTCAGCTTGCAAGGCATTAATTGGACTCGATTTCATAGCACCAGCTATAATCCTTAGCGCTTTAGATTGAATCGCATCCAATTTACTTAAACCAACTAAATTACAAGGCTCTAGATAGAAACTGCCATAGTCAAGTACACTTCTTATAATAGCATTGTATAAAAGTCTTAATGACGCTGGGTGAGCACCCCACCAGACTCCAGAAACACATCTTAAAATATTTAAAAGCTTTTCAGATTTTGCAGCAATGCTATAACAAACAATGAGGAAGCAATACTTTTTAACTACCCTAAAACGCATGTCGCTGCTCCTGTTTCCTTCATATTTTCATTATTTTCTTAATTAAAATATATTTCAGAATATTGTTAATTACAATGTGAAAACTTTTTTTAAAATGAAATTAATTTGTTTTAATTTAAAACTGAACGGTGACATTTTTAGGGTTCCGTAGCCAAAATGGCAAAAACGGAACCCTTATAGTTTCGTCATGTCCGTCTGTCCGTCTGTCCGTCTGTCCGTCTGTCCGTCTGTCCGTCTGTCCGTCTGTCCGTCTGTCACAGCCGATTTACTCGGAAACTATAAGTACTACAGTGATGAAATTTGATGGGAATATGTGTTGTATGAACCGCTACAAAATTATGACACTAAATAGTAAAAAAAAGAATTGGGGGTGGGGCCCCCCATACATGTAACTGAGGGATGAAAATTTTTTTTCGATGTACATACCCGTGTGGGGTATCAATGGAAAGGTCTTTTAAAATGATATAAAGTTTTCTAAAAAACATTTTTCTTAAAGTGAACGGTTTTTGAGATATCAGCTCTCAAAGTCGTAAAAAGTATGAACAAGTGATCTGAGTTTTCTCAAAGTGCAAATGCTTTTTTAGTGTTGTTGAAAACTTTGCGAAAAGACGCTTTTGGTGTATAATATTATGTGTGTTCATAAATAAAGTAAAATTATTAAATTGAAAAGTTTTTGTTTATTTGCATTTCCATGTGCAATGTAGAATTTTTCCAAATCCATTGTTTTGAAAATAATACAATACGTACACCATAAAGATAAATACTTTCAAAATAATGGATTTGAAAAAATTCTACATTGTACATCAAAAAAACAATAATTCTTTGAAGGTTATGAGGGCCTATGTGTGCGTGAACTGTGTGTATGTATGCGTGGACTTTATGTATGTATGTGTGCGTGTACTATGTGTGTATGTGAGCGTTACGTACGTAGGTTAAGTACAGCGAATTTAACACCAGGCTGTCAATTAGTAGGCTCAAAAATTTGACAGAGAGGGTTCTCTATTTCCTATGTATTACTTTTCTCTATGATGTTATCAGTTTTTTCGTTTTTCCCACTGCACACACGACACGGTTTAAGACAGAGAAATATTCAATTTTAATGTGTGAAATTTTGTAATTTGAAAACCAAATGAGTTTTGCATTACGTTATTTTATGGAACTAGGTTAAACAAGGCTTAATTCACAATGTTTTTCCTAAAATTTATTCGCTCAACTATTTTCCAAATTTTATCTTTTTTATTTGTCCTAGGATATTTACTTGGAATTTTAAATTTACATTTTAATGATAAAAATAATTATTGTGTTATGACCTATATGTTTGAATATCCTAAATTTGTGGTAAGTTTCTGTTATAAATTTACAACATTATACCTACCAACTGTGTTATTTACCATTTTAATAACCTTTTTGAAATTGTTGTAGCCTATATCTGTGCCAGAAAATGCTTTATATCCTCAATATGGACTATATGCATACAGCGAAGGAAGATTTACAGAAAGAGCTAGGAAAATGTGGTATATTTTTATACATTTTGGTCATTTAAATTCATAATAAGTTACTGTTTTTCTTTAAAATTTACCATAACATTACCATGAAATATAGGGGATAATCTATATCAGAAATTTCTGAGAAAAACTTATTCATAATTTTAGGTTCACTGGAATCCCTGTTTTGTTTATTCCGGGGAACTCCGGCAGCCACATGCAAGCGCGCTCTATTGCTTCAGTCGCGCTGAGAAAGGCACTTCAAAAAGACAAATATGAATATCACTTTGACTATTTCACAGGTACTGAAAACACTACATCACTTTTTATTTAATAGGAATGAGTGCATGCAAAATATCAAATGTTCTAGCTAACATAAGTTAAAGATATTTAATGACTACATAATGATTTCTTTATAATATTTTCTTTCACCAGTAAGCTACAATGAAGAGTTATCAGCACTGTATGGAGGGGTGCTTCAAAGCCAAACTGAGTTTGCTGCATCATGCATCTCTAAAATATTGAGTCTGTACAAAGACAATAACTATACGAAGCATATTCCAACGTCAGTAATACTGATCGGTCATTCAATGGTTTGTAATTTTTAATTTAATATATTTTTAGTAAATAAAAACAGGTGTCCACTGTCCATACTTTTAAAATGTGCACTAAGTTTTGCATTATCATCCAGGGAGGAATTATAGCCAAGCGCTTACTGGCATACCCAAGTACGATCGACACGACTACAATAGCAATAGCTTTGGCTGCACCATTGCAAGCTCCAGTGATAAACACAGATTTGTACATGAATTATTACTACAAAATCATGGAGTATGAATGGGAACTATACGTAAAAAATGATAAGCAAGTAAACGATAAGAAGATGTTAATTAGTTTTGGGAATGGACCAAGAGATACTCTGATGCCTTCAGGTCTGACCAGGTTGAATGAAAGTCACATCAATGCATTGGTAAGTGTACATATTCAATATTGTCATATAAAATAGTAGACTAACCAAGCTGGCCTAGGATGCGCGCCATGATATAATCAACTGTTTTAGATGACCTATTGATAAAATGCCTAGATAAAACGTCATAATAGACTAGGGTAACAGGATGGATGTGTTTCAGATCTAAGTCACATTTTATTAAAATGTACATTTCAGACCACAGCAATACCAGGAGTTTGGGTCTCCCCTGACCATGTTAGTATAGTGTGGTGTAAACAACTGGTGTTGGCTATCAACAGGTTTTTGTTTGCTATAGTTGATCCATTGACGCAACAGTTATCAGGGAACAAGCAGATATGGATGTCAATGAGCAATACCTACTTTCAGGTAATCATTATTAAATTAATTGCTATTGTTTTGTTTACAATATTTTTGACGAGCACTGTTTGTGTGTTTTTTATGTTTTCCGTCATTAGTAATGCAGTTTGCATAAACTATGTTTTTTGCAGGCAAATCGATCAATGATACTCAGCTGGAATATACCTCGTGCAAACCTGCCTATGGTAGCTGATGCGTTTTGGTATGAAGACAGCAGAAGGATCTATCAGATATCACGGCCCGAGATTACGAAGTAAGTCTTTAATACTCATAATGTAGTTTATTGTGTAATATTTAACTTCATCTTTTTTATAGCAGGAATGTGGTGTTTACTAATTTCACCTAGAAATTACCTCTAAAATTCTAAATTTATTATACCTTCAATTATGTACAGGTACCTACTTGTTTTCAACATTAGTCAGATTTAATTTATGGATACATGTACTCCGCCACTATGATCAGACTTGGCATTTTTCCAGAGATTGAGGAAACGAATATTTTAGGATGGCGCGTCACATTTGTAGCGTCAGTTGTAAAATTACGAAATTTTGTAAAACGTTATGAATGACATGTTTCATTTAGCGCTATTATGTCCTTGTCAGGGTACTTATAAATATTCGACTATTACAGAATCTTCGGAAAAATATTAGGTATTTCCACATGCATCTTATTACATAAGGACAAGGCCAATACATAAGCTTACAGTATTTAAGTAGTAAAGCAATATTCTTAATTGTTTCAGAATGACGTACCTGATGATAAGACTAGTAACATTCCCACAGAATCGATTTGTGGCCATAGAAGCTACCAATCTGGATGATCGCGAATGGGTTTTCGGTTGTAACGCTATGTACACCTATGGCACTTACAGATATTGGTAATGTATTTTACTTAACACACTTTATACGATACTTTTTGCCCATTTGGTAAGGTAAAAATTTTAAGAATGATAAATTATTATTGTGTTTATTTAGCAAACAAGCAACATCATTGTCAGAACTCACGCGATGGACGGGGGCAGCCACGAATTTTGGCAGAAGAAAACTAGCCACCATCAATCTGCACCGACTCAAAGATACGTACCCGGACTGGACGCATGTTATAGTCAAAGTCTCACCGACCAGAAAACCGGTAGGTTTATTGATATACTTATTTTATTAACTGCTTGCCTGTCAATAGCTTGAGAATTTATTATTGTTGAGTGAAAAGTGACTGTATTTGACCAGTTGGAAAACTTGTAATCATTATATTTCATAAAAATATTTCTTTCAGGTAGTTTTAAATGTAGACATAAATGACCATGCGTCTCGCGTAATAACTGTGTCCATGCCTTCGGAATTAAGCTTTGAAAAGAAAGTAATAATCCAAGAGACTGAAGCGAACAGTTTGTATTACGAACTAGTTTTGCCTGGCTTTTATGCAGTACACCAAACTTACCTCCTATACGTAGAACCTACAGCGAGCTGCAAGGCAAGTCAGTACCATATCTCAGCGGAATTGCATGTGCCCTGGGCGGAGAATAATGAATACTTCCATTACTTTACGTAAGTTTTGACGATCCGGCTCGAAGGACCATGTATTTGGTGTAACCATATTAACCTGTACACGTTGTCTTTTACTTTTCTAGTCATTTGAAACAATCGCCGATGAAACTCCGTATATTCACAAGTAACCCGAACGCAACACGTGGGGATCCTTCAGAACATGTAAAAATTACTTTACTACTAGATCCTCAGTGCACATACACTATAAGGTAATTATTAGATTAACACGAGTTTGTCGCAGTTGTAAAGTAGTAGTTACTATAATTATTAGATTTCTAGAAGTCCACCCTCCTTTTAGTATTGCTAAATTGTAGGTGTGCTACACAAAACTTTTTCTTTCTATTCTATCTGTGCTCACTAACGTCAGAGAATCACAGTGAGTGTAATCGATGGATAATCCTTGAAGTAATTTTATTTGGAAAAATCGGTTTCATCATATTTTGAGTTTTCAATATGAAAATCAGTGCTTTCAACTCAAGATTAAATTATTTAAATGCTATTTCAGTATATGCAACTCATGGTACAACCGGCTTGCCCAATTGGCCCGTAACTACACCCCAGTATTGCTCCCGTATACAGCCGCCATTATCTTGCTAGCGGCCCGTAGTATGATCCTGCAATTACGAGACAACGGAACGTGTTTGTCTATCCACGGAGCGTTGATGAGCGAAGGCGTCAAACCTCACTATGCATTGGTATTCGCTAGATTGGCCACTACAGTTTTCATGTAAGTTTTTTAAATACATTATGGTCACATCAACACGACAAGGGGCAATTTCGCTCACGTCTAGCAAAGTACGCATTGATGGATTGATGATGGTATTTTTTAAGTTTTCATTAACTGCTATACATTAGTGCCTGTTTAACTGTAGTTAAAGCTCCTTACCGCCTACAGTAAAATCCTAGCTTAGTAATGTCATAATTACGCCAGATTCGAATTCGTAAAAACACAATGTGGAGTAGTCGTAATACCACTTGTATGATACAACCCGATTGAGCTAACTGCACACCCCACTGAACGTTCCCACCAGTGCCGTAACTAGGGCGGTGCCAGCGGTGCCCAGGCACAGGGCGCAGACCCTGGAGGGGCGCAGAAATGACCAGACCAAGCATTTTTCAAGGGCGCAGTTTTGAAAGCTCGCACCGGGCGCATAAAAGGCTAGTTACGGCACTGGTTCCCACGTTCGCCCCGTCCGTACGAGCGTCGATGTGACGTCACGGCAACCAGGTGCGCAGCTAACTTGACCGGATTGTAGTACCTACTTGAAGTTTACGCTCTAGATCCAATGTTCGTCACCGTTTTAAAACTAATTTGTAAGATAAATGTTTGTAAGTTAATTTATGATACCAAAACGTAAATTCCAGGTCAGTGCCCGCACTATCGTATCTCCTCGAGAGCGCAAACTGGGACAACTTGGAGATACAATATTTCACGCGATCTCTGGTGGTGTTACCAGCATATATGACCGCGCTTGGGATCGTGCAGATAGTCGCCGCCGCTGCAGTGGCTGTTATGGTGTTCTCCTCGCAACTGGCACATAGACTGCTTTTCAGGTATGTTTCTATGGTTATTGAGAATTTCATTCTATAGTAATCGTGAGCTTGCGCTTCTTCCATCTGGGAAAGGTGAAAGTAACCTGTCGCCTGTGTGATTTTACGCCTCGTCGTCGTCGTTTCAGCCAAATGACGTCCACTGCTGGACAAAGGCCTCCCCTATGGTTTTCCACAATGAACGGTCCTGCGCTGCCCGCATCCAGGCTCTTCCCGCGACCTTTACCAGATCGTCGGTCCACCTAGTAGGAGGCCTGCCCACGCTTCGTCTTCCAGCTGGATTTTACGCCTACCTACATATAAATAAACCAGTATCAGTTTTAATGAAGACTTTCTGTGACCAGCCAAAATTAACACAGGTTAATCCACGAGCAGAAATTAATTGACCATAATAGAATGGAAGGACACAAGCAAGGTTTTTAGCGCAAATAGTTATCGAAAGGGGATATTTTCCTGCTTCTAGTAAAACGTTTTATCAGAATCAAACCACGATATATCTGTAAAAAGCGATTGACGAAGAGAAACTTCTGTAAATGCAGAGATTTGAGCTTTAACTGTGCAGACTCCACTTTTGCGTGTCAAATTCTACGTGATTTAATGTTAAACATTGATAATTTCAGAATAATTTGGCGCGGAGGGCCCGACTTGGCCGAGCGACTGGCGAGCAGTCTGCAAAAGGTGCCGTTTATCGTGACCATCTCACTCGGCTGTGCTATCCCGCTTTCTTGCGGCGCCGCTGCCATAGTTGCTGGAGCGGCGTATTACGCATTTATGGTACGAATTAGACTTTAACTTTATCATGACAGAGTTGATTTTTTCTTCTGATTAAATTCGTTGCCGGTCCAATGACAGTTTAACTGTCCTTCGGGACAAACTTGACCTTCACTGGTTGGATTTTTATTGGCGGTCTAGCTGTAGATGCTGGCTACACAGGAGTTGCAGTGGTGGGTACGAGAGGTGGGAATAGTCCTGTATAACAAAGTTAAGTTTCAAATGATATGATATCAAAGTAGTTTTACAAATGGTCTCAATATGTAATCAATATTAACTATGGTACTCATGATATAAATCTACCGTGACACACTTTATTATGATAGTGTTATCTGATTGGCCATTTTGTTACAGATTTCTAAAATGTATGAAGAATACCTCGAAGATTACGTATATAAACTCATGGCGAAATTAGCTTCTAAAATGTGTTATATGTTTAAGTCAAAAGCTTCTAATAGCGAGTCGGAAACCAGTCTTGTTCCAGTAAGCTCTTCAAGCAAGGAGTCTGTTTCCGAAGAACCTAAAAGTATAGAAGATAAAAAAGATACTCAAATAACTAATGAGGACAATAAAATAGAAAAGGTCAAAGAAGAAGCTGAAAAGAAATCAAAAACACATAAAAAAGTTACAAAATTTGTAAAAAGGAAACAGAAATGTAGTATTCCTGAATGTACTTGTGAGTTAATGAGTAAAGAAGATGAATTGAACTATTTGAATTTCCATGTGATGATGTTCTTCTTATGGATCTGTGTAGCAATGGTTAATGTGCCAACTTTGCTTACTTGGGCAAGAAACTTCAAGTAAGTTTAAAAGATATGAAACATACTAGAGATAAAGCAAGTCTTCTTATCTAACATACTAATTATTGTACTTTATTTTAGGTTCAGCATGGTATTAAGGCCCGATACGTCCAAATACACAGGTTTTGCGATAGTCATATGTTCAGGTATTCTATGGCAAATGGATCTTCCCCGAAGAAAATTGTAAGCTTCATTTTATAGATTTTTAACATTTTTAAAGTTGACTGCAATATATATGTTACGGCTAAAGATAGGTGCGAACATAAACTTAAGATTAGCCGGCTAAACTTAAGTTTATCTTCGACGCGGTGTTAATGTTAGTTTCTTCTATCTTTAGCCGGCTAAACTTAAGTGTAACCGTAGGCCCTTGGCTAAAAATGTAGAAGGAAATTGAAAAGGAAACAATGTAATAATGTTTACTATTTTGACACGAAAACTTTATTAAAAAAACCGGCCAAGTGCGAGTCGGGCTCGCGCACAAAGGGTTCCGTAGCAGCAAATATAATAAACTTATTATGTCAATTTATACACCTGGTGAATGGAGCCTAAACTCTCCCGATATTTTGCCTTGTACTTTTATGTATGAATATTAATTTTATATATGTATTTATAAATATTCCGAGCTAAAGAGGTGGCAAAAGCAATGGCAAACAAACCACAATCAATAGTATTCGGTTGTCGCTGAACACTTGGAAACTGAATACATGACTCCGATAGATACGGAAACAAGGCTTTTACATATATTTTTTGCGATTTTCCTAGAACACCAACAAGACTATCGTACACACGCAGTATTCCATTAATGTAATAAATACAACTCCAGTGCCCCACTAATCCCACGTCACCGTCATAAATTACTTGAAGGTGCGTCTCATTTTTAGGTACAGGTTCAATCAGTTCAGGGTGTTGAAATAATTCTAGCTCACGCGGTCTAAATGATGTGCACCGAAGTAACTTTTCATGAAATGCGCGAACCACATCATCTTCGATATAGTTATTATAATTCAGAATGTAGGAAAACGTATTATCTAAAGTATCGCCATTCAAAGCTTCGTTAACAACGAAACTGAAAATGGCTCTAGATTTGTAATTTTGATAAAGACAAGTTAGATTTCAAATAAAAACAAAAGATTTCGAAGTAAAATAAGCATTTTAGTTAAAATTAAAATTGTCTCTACCTGTAGCGGAGAATAATGTTGTGGCAGGCCTTTGTTCAAACGATCATAGCAAATGTTGTGATAGGGATAGAGACATGCGATTTTTGGTTTTACAAAGATAATACGATAGAGAGTAATACAAAGTAATAAAAACCACCTGTTATAGGGGCATTTTTTTGGAGAAATTTATCAAATAACCAAAAAAACACGAATTTAAAAGCAGATTTTTTTCAAAAAGTATCATTTTTTATTATTTGTTGGCATTTATTGTGTATTTTATGTATCTTTTTAGTATCGCCTGTTATTTAGCATTATTACTGTTTTTATTTTATCAGGATATACCGCTTAGTTTAAAAGTTATTACGTTTTCTTTACAATAAGTAAATGGAAAAAAAATGTATAATTTTTTTTTTTAAATCTCAAAAAATTTTTGACCTCTTTTTCTATCTATATATATGTTACGGCTAAAGATAGGTGCGAACATAAACTTAAGATTAGCCGGCTAAACTTAAGTTTATCTTCGACGCGGTTTTAATGTTAGTTTCTTCTATCTTTAGCCGGCTAAACTTAAGTGTAACCGTAGGCCCTTGGCTAAAAATGTAGAAGGAAATTGAAAAGGAAACAATGTAATAATGTTTACTATTTTGACACGAAAACTATTAAAAAATAATCACTTTCATTACACGTAGGCACTTGAAATTTGGAAGGGACGTAGCTAAGGTACCGTAGAGGTGCACTAAGAAAGGAATTCCCGAAACTCCCATGGGAACGGAAATTAGCGGGAAAATCCTTTTGTATGAAAATTCTAAACCGCTTAAGTTAGCTTGAAATTTGGTATGCAGGTACCTTAGTAAACTTAAAGCTTAGTTACAACAGGATATTGCAAAATTCCCACGGGAACGGGAGTTAGCGGGAAAAAACATTTGTATGAAATAATCTAAACCGCATAAGATAGATGAAGGGGGTAAAACGGGATCCACGCGTACGAAGTCGCGGGCGGCCCCTAGTCGAAAACATTTTTAGCCGTTTCGTTTTGGCTGATGTGCACATTAGCCGGCTAAAGATGGAATATCACGACGCAAACTAACATGTTATCGAACTTTAGCTGCTTCTCGAAAATAAACTTAAGTTTAGCCGGCTAATCTTAAGTTTATGTTCACAACTATCTTTAGCCGTAACATATATAAAAGAAAGTCGTGTTAGTTACTCCACTTATAACTCAAAAACGGCTGAANAAAAATAATCACTTTCATTACACGTAGGCACTTGAAATTTGGAAGGGACGTAGCTTTAGGTACCGTAGAGGTGCACTAAGAAAGGAATTCCCGAAACTCCCATGGGAACGGGAATTAGCGGGAAAATCCTTTTGTATGAAAAATCTAAACCGCTTAAGTTAGCTTGAAATTTGGCATGCAGGTACCTTAGTAAACTTAAAGCTTAGTTACAACAGGATATTGCAAAATTCCCACGGGAACGGGAGTTAGCGGGAAAAAAACATTTGTATGAAAAAATCTAAACCGCATAAGATAGATGAAGGGGGTAAAACGGGATCCACGCGTACGAAGTCGCGGGCGGCCCCTAGTCGAAAACATTTTTAGCCGTTTCGTTTTGGCTAATGTGCACATTAGCCGGCTAAAGATGGAATATCATGACGCAAACTAACATGTTATCGAACTTTAGCTGCTTCTCGAAAATAAACTTAAGTTTAGCCGGCTAATCTTAAGTTTATGTTCACAACTATCTTTAGCCGTAACATATATAACTAAAATTTTATTTTCTTCCAGGCGGTATTATGACAATGTTGCTGCATTATTATTTACGATGGCAGTATTAATATTATCACTAGGACCTTTGTCATTAATAATTATCAATTATGGTGTTACTTTAATGATCGCTATAATTACACTACAACAATGGTTTGATGAAGAAGTTGGTGCTGAAATTCGGACATGTCTCAGTGAACATTCAGAAGAAAAGGAAAAGGATGATCACGAAAGTAAAACTGAAAATATTTCTGATGACAAGGAAGAAACCAAAGATAAGGGAGATACCAAAGACAATAAAGATGATTGTGAAAATGAAACAAAACAACCAGAAACACCCAGTGAGGATTGTAACGTATGTGATGAAAGTCGAATTTACACAATGTTTAAGGGTTTCAGAGACAAATTTACAGAAGTGTCAGAGGGAACTTAACACATATTTATTTTCATACTCATATGATTGAGATTTTTTTATCTTCCCCGTGGTTTTGGTGGCAGGTAGGTTCATCTTTTTACCAAAAATTTAATTATTGTATTTTGAGATTCTAATTCAGTATTCATCACCAACTTTAATTAAAGTAATAAGTACCTAGGCTTTGAAACTCACTATTTTATCTATTTTAGACACAACTGTTTTTACGTTATATTGCCATATTATACAGAAGTGTGAATGTAAACTATTAAACGTAATCTTGCCTGTACTGAAATACATATCAAATGACCGTTGGATTGAATATTGTTGTTTATGTTATAAAAATGTTATGATACCATAAATAATAAAGTCAATTTCGTACATTGCTTGTGATTCTACTGCATAGTCCTACCTGATAGAACTGTGGCAAAAAATAGTCTATGGATAAATTGTTTTAATTATGTAGCATAACAGTAGCAGGAAGGCGCTGCCAACCAGTTATTAGAGAAGTCATTGGGGAGGCCTATGGGTAATTTTACCTCTGAAAAACTAAATTACCCATGATACTACTAGTAGGACTAAGCAGTAGGACCACAGGCAATGCATGGTCAATGTAATCATTGACATAACAACTGTTATGGAACATAGGAAAGGGTGTGTAAGAAAAGTAGTGGAAGGATCATACTCTTCACTACAAAAAGGAATGGACTAACTTGTTGTCATTAAGGTATTATTTAAAATTGTATATAAACGAGATGTTGGTTAAGTTATTAATTAGAATATCCGCAACATTTGGACTGTTGTTATAGTTTTTTTGTTGATTTCTAACCTCGTCAGAGTAAATATATTCTTTGTTTCTAACACAATAATTTGTAAAAGTAGGTAGGTAGTATATAATTTTTTTAAATGCAATAAAAATCTTTGATCTTAATAACTATTTTATTTCAGATACAAGCATACCATATTACAATAATCTAAATGCAGTTTCTAGATCACTTTTTTCCTTTTTTGCCAGTTGGTTTCTCATCATTATTCTTAGGGTTCTGCCAGTTTAGTGGGTTTCTTCTATACATGGGCCAAGGCGGGACAGTCAAAACAGCAGCCAATATAAATCCTGCTCCCAAAATGTAGACCGATTGCGAAAATTGCTGAACGATGTATCCCCAAACGAAACCTACGATACTGAACAGTGTAATTATAGCCTTATATAACTTTTCGGCTTTGGCTTGACCAACGTAGTCAATATGAGTTGGTATTGAAGTGAAAAAATCCATATTTGCAGTATTTCAGTAATGTTTCGCTGAATTTGTGCACAATTCGATTTTTAAGTTTTTTGACAGTGATACAACGTCAACAAGACACGTCAGTGAAAAAGTAATGCTGAGTTGTCTGTGGAGTGGTCTATGAAAAAATGCTACGGCTATATTGTCGATTTTTATCACTATTGAATTTAACCCTTAATCATGCCAAATTTCATTAAAGTGGGAAATCATTTCCCATTGTTCAGGGCCCCGATTTTTAGAAAACAATTTCTTTGGTTATTCGGGAAACGAAGAATAGCTTCATAAAATTTTGATAACAGCGCGGCGTCGGCATCATGCTTCTTTTGTATTTTTTACCCAAGCGCGGCAACACAACGATCGGCCAAGTGGGAATTATTTTCCCCTTATTTGATTTTAACATAACTTTTCAGTATTTATATCTTTAGTTATTTAATTGCAACCTAAACAAATTAGTATTATTTAGTTAAATTTAGTTGATCTTAATTTATGAAAGGTTAATAGGATTTAATTAATTTTTATTGTATTATTTTGCCCTATTTTTCAAAGCTTTTTTTTTCAATTTGTGGCAAAGCAACACCGCCTCACTATTTTATTTTCCGTCAGTCGATTGTCAACATTCAGTACGATCAGACTCATTAGGTTAATTTTAGTTACAAAGATATTAGTTTTATTTTCCAAAAAAGTACAATATACAAAATTTTATCAACAAAATGACAACTTTCAAGCAAGTTCCTCTCACATGTGGTGGCCATACTAGACCAGTCGTTCATTTGGATTTTAGTGACGTTACAAAAGACGGATATTACTCGATTTCAGCCTGCAAAGGTGAGTTTTGATGTCAATTTCATACTTAGGGTGCCCTTTTGCCTTGGCCTAGATATAAGTGGAAGACCTGCAAGTGTGTTTGGGTGTATTCGTTCGAGTTTCGTGTGACAGATGTTGGGCATCGTGAAGTGAGGCCTTCACTTTTTTATTTGTGTAGAATGGTCCATTCTGCCGGCTACGTGCACTCTATGCATGTTGTGACCTTCTCTTTCCGGACATGCAGGAAGTACCTTGAGTATCCGCTCGTAAGTTTCCTCGCGGCGGCTGCTTGCCTTGGTAAACTTATCGTGCTTTTTGTTCACGTTGTCTCAACATGATAGTCGAGTTGCGTACTTTTGTGTGTGTACAGAATTATACTAGGCTCGAAACATAGTTCCTGTATTGTATGTTGACATTTCACCTATTCTGGGTCACCTTGTACCCGCTCAAGGTTTTGTGTACTTGGTATTCTTGATACTAATTGTTTACAACTCTTGAATCATGTGTGACAGTGTTGGTATTAAATTTTTTATCATTGTTTTTCATGAGGAAAATGTGTACACTACTTGGTGTTGATACCTGTTTTATTGTTTTTATTCTTTCCTTGATCTTGGAGTCTAATTAAATCTAATAAGATTAGCATTTGAATTATTTCTAGTGTATATCTTGATAGATACTATAGTTTTGGATTAGACAATTTTGTATTGCGACCAATAACTTTCTTTGTATACCCACTTTTGTAATATTATCAAAAAATAACGATGAATGATTTTAAAAATGCATAATGGTAGCCAATCATTGTTTCATTCATGTTAAATCTTATGCATATGAATGAGTTCTGTTTTTGTCTTGCCTAGCCATATTAAGAACATTTAATCAATGATTACTTGAATACAATTTGCTTTCATGTTCATTCATAGATGGCAAGCCTATGTTGCGGCAAGGTGAAACAGGCGATTGGATCGGGACATTTGAGGGGCATAAGGGGGCTGTGTGGGGAGTAGCATTAACACAGAATGCTAACTTAGCCGCCAGCGGTGCTGCTGATTTTTCAGGTTTGTATAACATTCATTTGCACCTCATACTATATTTGGTTGTAAAAATAGCACTAGTGTTTATTTTGATGAGTGTTATAAATAAGTAATGATGAATATTCCATTTTACTGCTTCTCTAAATTATCATTTTACTCAAAACTCAAGTTATAGTAGTAACTTAAATGTCTATTTTATTTTAAGTTTGACTGGGAATGAATGATCCTATTTTTTCATAGTATACATAGAAGGGATCAATATTATGGGTATTTAATGCATTAGAGATGTTAATAAAAATCGTTATTATTTACAGCCAAGCTTTGGGATGCGCAATACGGTGAAGTGCTTCACACATTTGATCACGAGCACATAGTGAAGAGCGTCAACTTCAATTCCGATGACACCCTGCTGCTCACAGCTAGCAACGAAAAACTCATACGAGTTTTTGATCTCAATAAACCCGAAGCTGGAGGTATGTTACCTTTTGTTTTATTATGTTTGTGATAAATCTGAGTAATTTTCAATGTCAACACTTGTAAATTTTTTTTTGTTGACTGACTACTCACAATATGATATTAGACAGAAAAAATATAATATTTTGGGAATAAAGATATGAAAATGTGAGATAGCTACTTATGCTACAACACTTTACTTCTTTGATCATATTTCAATTACAATTTTTACATGAATTTTTTGAATATAAAATGATTGTGTTTTGAATTTGATGTTCTTTTTATTACATAAATAAGCATTGGGAAATGTATTATAGTACTTCTGTAAACATCTTTCAAATCAAGCTTGTTGTGTATGTTGTTCATCCTTTGTTCTAGCATTTCATAAGCAACATAGGAAATGTTGAATGTAAATAACGATGGTTACTTCATCTGACACATAGTTTTCCTGTTACAACAGCAATTCAGACTTGCTTGCTTTGGCTACTTCATCTTTTCTACTGGGAAATATACTTCTTTGCATGACTGGGTGAAGTAGTGCAGTTCCATTTGTCATAAAGAATAGGGTTACCATGATACAAGATAAAACATCTAAATGTTACGGTGCAAAATCTGACATTAACTAATTAAGCCACCATCAATTGCGGTTCTGCACTCACAGGAAGTCTAGTTTGAACGATTAATTTGTCAAATTAATATAGTAAACTAAATTCAGTTTCTAAAATATTCGAAGTTATGTTTGGTTCAATAACTTTCAGTTCTTTTTTATAAAAATTAAAGTAATGTTTAGATCTAAACTTTTGTTTTTCACCTGGTAACCCTAACCTCATGTTCCTTGCAGCCCTGGAGAAAATACCCGCGCACACAAACAGCATCAGGCATGCGGTGTTTCTCCACAACTCTCGCATCGTTAGCGTGAGCGACGACCTAACTATGCGCGTTTGGGACCGCACTAGTGGGCAGGTGCGCACTCTATACATTTTACCAGTAAACTAGTCCATTTTAATCATATAGTTACTAGTTGACAACTAGCTAGTTGAAAACTAGTTGCAGTTGAACATCACATATTGCTTATACTATCACATGTGTCGTTTTAAAACTTTACCAATAAACTAGTCAATTTTAATGAACTAGTTACTAGTTGACAACTAGTAGCATTTGTACATCATATATCGCCCGTACTATCACTTGTATTGTTTGCTTGTATCTTTCTGAATTGGGATATGTGTTTATTTTATTGGATTGGGTTGTATTATTTAGGTATAAAGTTAACAAATAACCGTCTTTGTTTCAGGAGGTGCATAAAATTGAATTTCCAACCATTCCAAATAGCTTAGAACTGTCCAGAGATGGGACAATTTTAACCGTAGCTCATGGTAAGTGTAAACATAAATTAATTGGTTATTTACAATTATCTCGTTGTTTTCCTTCTGAGACCCTTGACATTTCAGATTGAGAAGTTTCGCATTTTTATTCAGGGCAGGGTTGACCTTTTACTTTAATGTTTGGAGTCAAAAGCTGTAATTATTTTATGTCAACAAAGAAAACCGTTTTTTTTACAAATTGAGCAACAAACTTGTAATTCTACAAATATATTTCCAGCATATTCAATAATAGAATAACTCATAATCACTTTTATGATAGGCATTACTGACTGTTTATAATGATAACAATAACATTGTAAAACATTACATATTCCAAACATGGATATGCTATTTTTAGTTAATAATAACACTGTTTGTTCTTTGTTATAATAGTAGCTCATTTCTTTGTTTATGACGGTGCCATTTCGCTTCCTACCTTTCTCAATTCAGTGCGGCCATGACAAGTTCTCTAGTTTTAATTAATTTAATTTAAATGCTGTTTTTTTTTTCAGGTACAAATGTGTCATTCTACTCAACGGACACGATGCGCAAAATACGCGACTGCCAGGTCCCTACCAAGTGTTTCTCGGCGTCGCTCGCGCCCAACAGGGCGACTTTTGTCTGCGGGGGCGAAGATCTGAAAGTGTATAAGTTTGACTATAACACTGGCGCTGAATTAGGTGAGTGATTAATGTTATTATTAAAAACTTTAACAACATTTAGCTAATAAATGCTTTGTCACTGTCCATGACGAATGACAATTTCATTATGATGAAAAGAGAAAAAACATTTAAAAATTATTTTATGGGTAAATATCCGATCAATACCAACTAAATATTGGGTCCAGGCTGGACCGTCCAGCAGAATCAGAGTGACTGACGTAGCCCGCAGAATCGCTAAAATCAAGTGGCACTTAGCTCGAAGAGCTGATGGCCGCTGGGGCAGGAAAGTTCTTGAGTGGCGACCACTAAACTCTGATTTTTAATTCGACGGAATTTTGACATTTCAGAAGTGTTGTCAACATTGAAACATTCCCATTATGAATGGAGAGCATTTTCACAAATTAAAAAATAATCCTTTCTTGAATTTAAGGTTTCACTTGAAAAACTAAGGCTTAAAAATGTACTGATCATTTCAAAATGGTTATTTGAATTTTTATTATCATTATTTTTGAAGTTACAAAAAAAATTGGGAAATTATTTTTCTATTACTGGACTCCCTGGCCAATAATCCATGGGTTACAAACCTTTTTTATGAAAATCCTTTTGTTAATAAAATCTTAGGTTCATAAAATAACCAATTTAACAAGATGCCAATTTTATAATCCAAGTTGATTATGACGACGATAATGATGATTGATGATCAATACATATTTTCGTAAATGATAATATGTTGTTTTACTGTGTTAAAAACACGTTTTTTTCTATTTAAACTCTAAAATGTACATAATAATTAGTGTAGGTACATTGAATTGACACAACAAACAAATAGTTCATTCTTGTAAGTTGTACTTGATGAAATTTCATTTCATATTATTTATTAATAATTCAAAGCAAAAAAGGCTTGTTACATCTGAATTGTCAAAAAATGTCAGCTGTCAGAATTCCGTCGAATTAAAAATCGGACTATAGGTGGACCGACGATCTGGTGAAGGTCGCGGGAGGTGCCTGGATGCGAGCGGCGCAGGACCGGTCTTTGTGGAAATCCTTGGGGGAGGCCTTTGTCCAGCAGTGGACGTCTTTCGGCTGAAACGAACGAACGAACGAAATATCGGGTCAGCGCAAAAATTACGTCACGGGGAATAACAGCGCAATGAGTTCTTATTTCATTAACGATAAAAGATATTAAATACAATAAAAGAAGTGCGTTTTTATTTAGAGCCGTAATTTTTGCGCTGACCCGATATCTAGTTGGTATTGTTGATCGAAGGGGTAAAGTTTTGACTATTTTATTAATGTCTACATTAATAAAATAGTCAAAACTTTACCCCTCAGTCAGTAGAACTTTTACTGCATAATTAGTTTAGCCTAAGGGTTAAAAGGATTAATAACACGCACTAAGAACCTATTAATAAGCTATTTCCTCTTTCATAATTATTGCCATTTTGTAAGCCCTTTAAGGTTGAGGAAACAGATGTCAATAACCGGTTTTTGTTACAACACAAATCCGTACTAGCAAGAAGGTTATTACTTGTCAACCTACCTGTGTGCAAGTTCATATTTTGTGCATAAATTACTCCTGTTATTAACCTTAGTAACTTTACAAGCTTTTATTTAACTTGCAATATCTGTATAATAAGTTTGAGTCAAATCCTTCTAGCTGAATTAGAGCCACATTCTGACAACGATTAAGGTGACTGTAATTCGAATGACAAAGTATGTTAGGCACAATAAATCCTTGCATTTTTCGCCTAAAATTTTCAATAACATTTAATCATGGTGCGCATCCTAATCCTCTGAGGGCGTAGTGTGAGTTTACGCCAAACGCATTCGATGTCGATTGCGTAAAAAGTGTCATTAAATGTATGACGGATTGTACAGCGCCCCTAGCGGAAACTTTCAAGAACTAAAATCTTCATTTTTTTTAACGCGCTCTCTAGTGATGACGTTTGATGTAAACTCACACTAAGCCCTTTTTTTTTAGACTATCCCGCGGATTTATTACCGCGGTGATTCTGCCAATGTCAAGTGTTTAAGGAGACACATACACTAAGCCCTCTGATCTGGTGATAGGGGATGAAATAATGAAATCCCTGTCAAGTTTGACAAAGTCTGATTTGAAAAAGATCTGTTTTAAAAAATGATTTATTTTAATACTTGCAGAGTCAAACAAAGGCCACTTCGGGCCAGTCCACTGCGTGCGATGGTCGCCCGACGGAGAGCTGTATGCCACGGGTTCCGAAGACGGGACCGTGCGCCTCTGGCAGGGGACTCCCGGTCGTGTGTACGGGCTATGGCGGCGGAGCAACGAGCACCAACCCATGGCCAACGGGTTCAAGGAGGTCGCCGCCAACTGACACGCGTCCCACTCGCGACAGGTCAGTGTCCCATTTACATCTTGTGGCGTATGAAAATGTAGTCCCTTATGTACGGGCGCACTATGGGTCTATTTCATGGACAACTGGTTTATGGAGGTCGCCGCCAACTGACAAGCGTCCCACTCGCGACAGGTCAGTGGGACACTGACCTGTCGCAGTCAACAAGTCACAGTCAACAGCTATGTTATGAAGACGGGACCGTGCGTCTCTGCCAGGGCGCCTCTGGCTGGGTGTATATTCTCTGGCGGCGGAGCAACGAGCACCGACCCATGGCCAACGGGTTCAAGGAGGTCGCCGCCAACTGACATGCGTCCCACTCGCGACAGGTCAATGTCCCATTTACATCCTGTGGCGTATGAAAATGTAGTCGCTTATGTACGGGCGCACTATGGGTCTATTTCATGGACAACTGGTTTATGGAGGTCGCCGCCAACTGACACGCGTCCCACTCGCGACAGGTCAGTGTCCCATCGACAGCTATGTTATGAAGACGGGACCGTGCGTCTCTGGCAGGGGACTGTAGGCATATGAAAATGTAGTCCCTTATGTACGGGCGCACTATGGGTCTATTTCATGGCCAACTGGTTTATGGAGGTCGCCGCCAACTGACACGCGTCCCACTCGCGACAGGTCAGTGTCCCATCAACAGCTATGTTATGTTATGAAGACGGGACCGTGCGTCTCTGCCAGGGCGCCTCTGGCTGGGTGCATATTCTCTGGCGGCGGAGCAACGAGCACCAACCCATGGCCAACGGGTTCAAGGAGGTCGCCGCCAACTGACACGCGTCCCACTCGCGACAGGTCAGTGTCCCATCAACAGCTATGTTATGTTATGAAGACGGGACCGTGCGTCTCTGCCAGGGCGCCTCTGGCTGGGTGTATATTCTCGGGCGGCGGAGCAACGAGCACCAACCCATCGCCAACGGTTCAAGGAGGTCGCCGCCAACTGACACGCGTCCCACTCGCGACAGGTCAGTGTCCCATCGACAGCTATGTTATGAAGACGGGACCGTGCGTCTCTGGCAGGGGACTGTAGGCGTATGAAAATGTAGTCCCTTATGTACGGGCGCACTATGGGTCTATTTCATGGCCAACGGGTTCAAGGAGGTCGCCGCCAACTGACACGCGTCCCACTCGCGACAGGTCAGTGTCCCATCAACAGCTATGTTATGAAGACGGGACCGTGCGACTCTGGCAGGGGACTTCTGGCCGCGTGTACGGGCTATGGCAGCGGAGCAACGAGCACCAACCCATGGCCAACGGGTTCAAGGAGGTCGCCGCCAACTGACACGCGTCCCACTCGCGACAGGTCAGTGTCCCATCGACAGCTATGTTATGAAGACGGGACCGTGCGTCTCTGCCAGGGCACCTCTGGCTGGGTGTATATTCTCTGGCGGCGGAGCAACGAGCACCAACCCATGGCCAACGGGTTCAAGGAGGTCGCCGCCAACTGACACGCGTCCCACTCGCGACAGGTCAGTGTCCCATTTACATACTGCAGTGTACGTGTACGGGTTGATACGGATGCATGGGTTCAGCTCATGGCCAACGGGTTCAAGAAGGTCGCCGCCAAGGCCAACTGACCCGCATCCCACTCGCGACAGGTTAGTGTTATACTAGGCGCAGACCATCGATTTTTAGTAGGCCGATAGTTGTGCCCGATTTTAAATTGTATGAAGAATCGGCCAAATCAAATCGGTGTAATGTGCGCACTTCTATACATGCCCATACTGATCAACTGCCCGACTAAACTATCGGCCGACGAAAAATCGATGGTCTGTGCCTAGGCTTACACTTGAATAAATGTACGGGGCGTAGTCCAACTAATCCGCGCCTCAATCGTGAGAGGTCATTGTCCTATTGACATATTACAGCGTACGGGCTTTAACTATTCGCAAGTAGATTATGGATGTCGCCGTCAAATGACCCGTGTCCCATTCGCGACAGATCTCAATCCCATGTATGTGAGCTCGCAAGGGGTCCAGGTTATGGCCTACGGGTTTAAGGAAGGTGTCGCTTTCTAACCCGCGTCCTTATCGCAATAAGTCCTTTAAAAAAAAATTCCAAATTTCACCTATTGATGTATTGTTCTAGGACACTGATCAGAGCGGGTGCAAGCCAAATTGATCCGTTGCGATTAACGTCTGCGGCCGTCGACACTGGACATCACATTGTGTATTTGGACTTATGAGGGGGTAGCCTGAAAAATCAAGACTTAAGTATTCAAAAACGTCAACTGTGTTTGTGTTATTTTTTTTGCAACACTAGTTTTTTATACTCAAAAACAATGTATTTATTGTAAAAAAGGAACTTAATAGACTTGATATGCAACAAATAAAGTGATTTGTAAATATTGAAGTAATATTTTCTATTTATTAATAATCATCAGTACAACACAGCATTTTTTGTATTATTTTTTTAATCACAGAACACTTCCAGGTGAACACATACATAGCATTTCTTTGATATTAATTTATTCAACAGAAAAAAAAATAACCGTCATAGAAATAAAACAGGCAATTAAATAGAAAATATTTTATTAAATTTTGTCACTAGGTGAGATTTGTATTTATTATCTAGAAAAATAAAACTAGACCTAAGTAATTATGCCAATATTTTACAAATAATAATTTACAAAATCTTAATCCTAGATATTATAATAACTAGGCAGTGAAAACAAACTACAGAAGACATGAGTGGTTCACGAAATCATGAGTGACATTGGAGTTATTTGTACGACGTAATGGTAACATTGAGTAGGTATAAACTGGTAACACTGGTATTATGGTAAAAAATATACTGGGTATTGTTACATGCATATCGTCTTCTAATCAATTAAAGCTAAAGATGGCCATAAATGCTTATAAAAATTGTTACACAAATAAATTCAGAGTATATTTAAATTCTTATATTACACAACCTCTATTACTCTTATAAAAAGCCTAAGTAACAGTAAGTTTTAATTTAATGATTTGTTCGTTTTGAACAACACACTAAGTAAAACATTGCACCAAATACTTTTACGCTAGTACACAACGATGAGTTTCTTAAATCTATGACTTAAATATTAATGTCTATTTTAGCTTAAATTATTATTTTACGTCCTCTATGCAGGCATTATGTGGACTTCATTTTTGGTAACCAGAGATTTTTATTTGTATAAATAACGTATTTCCCAATTCGCCATTTAGATAAATAAAGTAATAGATATCAGTAAGTTAGATATTTGATGAATTTTATTTGAGCTTGAAAATGTTTTGCCTATCACGACAAAATTTTTGTTCAAAATATTTACAATTAGGTAATTCTTTGTTCTGAGATATAATATGCAAACATGTAAATACAAATTAATGCATATGTACGATACAATGGTGGCTACAAAGTTTAGTTAGCTATTTATTTTTTTATGGCTACACATCTGTCTTAGCTTTAGAAGTGACCAAAATTTGTGAGCAACATTTACTTTTCCTATGTGTTCATAGATGTAAGAGTGTAGTATCGTTAAAAATTAAATTATGGTCACTTAGTGCCAGAAGTTTTCAAGGCATGGAACCTCGCCCAATGATCCAAAAATGGATTTGGCGCTCACTAGTCACACTTGGAGACTACAGGCAATATATTTACAAACGCATCTTTAATTCGAGCTAGTAATTTGATAAATCTTTACATGGGAACAATGTGTACCTACCACCTAATTAGGGTAACTTCGCTAGTTTTCGTCCCAGTGCAGTAGGTGAGTTTGGGAGAAAAAAAATGGTTAATTGAACGAAAAATAGATGTAATGTATTCCATTAGCATTTTTAATGTTTATCTATACTTATTGGATGTGAATTTATCATGAAGTCGAAAATCAATGTTATTTTTTTCAAAATGGCAATATTTCCTGTCAAAAGTAAATAGGTACATTGTTCCTAAAAAAAAAAATACTACCTCGAATAAAGCGCCTAGCTCACTTAGGCCCGATTCGACCAAATTTTTATCCGAGAATAACTCCTGGTATAACTGGTACATTGACAGTTTCAGTATGGGAAATATGTCAAAATGACAAGTTTATTCTGTGGGTCTAGACAAAGTACACTTTTTGATCGAATCGAAAATCGAATCCGTCAAAACTCCATACAAAAAAAGGCTTTACGACCACTTTTCGACTGGTTTGCGATTAAAATGTGCACTTTGTCTAGACCCACTGATATTTACTCTTTTAGTCGAATCCACCTTTATCTGTGTAAAGAGCAGGCACACTAAAACAAATTACTATCTCGAATAAAGTATCCCTCACTTGGCTATAAACGGCGAGAGGTCTGGGAACTTGAAGTTTAGCGGGGGGCGTCGCGGCGCGCGGGACGGTTGCGAGGGAGCCGCGGCGCCGCACTGCGCTGCGCACACGTCGTCCCGAGCTACTGCCTCGCGAGGCCACTCGCGGAGGAGCTGTGCGCAGTCCGTGATGCGGAGGGATGCGCATTGAGCCTGGAGGATGGAGAAGATTGGTTGTTACAGTCCTGGATCAATCATCATCTAGGGGCGGCAGATTTCAGATGACGTTTACTCGATTTCAGAAGATAAAAGTTAAATAAAGATCTAACCCCACCCTAGCCTAAGGTTTAAAGATTCTTTATTTCTCAATAAAACACAATTGTCACTTACTTGAGAACAAAATTATTAAACTAAGTATGATTTAAATTTGAATCGTTCACACCGATATGTTTTATAAAAAGCATTGGCTCTAGCAAATTATACCATCTGATTGGCTATAAAAAGTAAATCAGTATAATATAGGTTCAAAACAAATATAATTTTCTAAATTGTAAATATTCGTTTTAGACATTAAATTTAATAAGTAAGGCTCATTCTACAACGTCATGAATATGTAGGGCAAGCGGCAAAACTGTAAATTCGCCACTGGGTTGTTAATAAAGAGAACGGGATCTAAGAGAAATATTAATTACGGTCGTCTTTATGTGTTCGCACTGATTCAAGCTCTCAGTCGCACACATCGGAGTGGGAGCATGACAGCCTGTTGCAAGTCGGTATCTTTTATTTGATTTTATAATAATTATATACATATATCCTTCCATGTTTAAATACACTTGTCCTCTTTTTCCTATAATATTCCTTTAATGATATCCAGAGAATGGACTTAGATAATTGTGAATTTTGTCTATTGTCTAAACCAGGGTTTCCCATTTTTTTTTGCCAAGGAACCCTAATTGATTATACTTTTCCTAGCGAAACCCCCGTGGCCCGTACTACTCCGCCCGAACGCCCTGCCCCTCTCTTGTGCATAAACAAGTCGGTGCGAGCGAACAACGTCGGTCACGAAACGTGGGATAATATTTTTTACGGAACCCCTGCGGCCTTTCCAAGGAACCCCAGGGTTCCGCGGACTACCATTCGGGAACCGCTGGTCTAAACATGCATTACCAAGAAAACTAAAAATCCTCTAGATAGGAATGAATAATCGACGTCCACGAGTACCTACCTACTTAAGTATAACTAAAAGGAATGTATTCCAAAAGGAAGAAATATGGTACACTTACCCCCTCCACGGTGCATATACAGGAAGTGCAAGGCGAAGGGAAGGCTGACTCTCCGACGGACACCGACCGGCCGGCTATGAGGCAGCCCTGCGCAGAACTTTCCCGCCACGCGGACAAGTCGATCTTGGGCAGCGACGAGCAGGGAACGCGTGGATTTCTGTAAAAAAAAATCATAATATGTTAATTATATAATATTTCCGCCCGCGGCTTCGCCCGCGTGTAATTTTGTCTGTCACAGAAAAACTTTATCGCGCGCGTCCCTGTTTCAAAAACCGGGATAAAAACTATCCTATGTTCTTTCCCGGGACTCAAACTATCTCTATGCCAAATTTCATCAAAATCGGTTGCGAGGTTTAAGCGGGAAAGCGTAACAGACAGACAGACAGACAGACAGACAGACAGAGTTACTTTCGCATTTATAATATTAGTTGGGATTATATTTATTTATATTATATGTTTGTATGTATCTGTATATATGTATGTAGGTATATGTAGCTTAAATATTATATCAATTAAAAATTTAACTTTTTTAACTTTTACCCTTCTACCTCTGCCTTCGCACTCACAGCTTTCTGCATAACCCAGGGGTCGACTGGCTGAGAATGCTCAAATAGCATTAAGTCCACCTTTTGTACTATTTTATTGTGCAATAAAGTTTTATAATAATAATAATTAATAATATCCTTGGTAAGTATTTTTACACTACCTCATCAGTCATCTTAAACTAAGCGAACCTTAGTTATCAGCATATTATTATGTTGCTGAAAATTTCAACCACAGGATGTCCACTAATGAACAGCATACCCAAAGCTTTCCAGATTGCTGATTGGAAGCAGCCCGCATCATGTTGTATCGGTTGGTATTGTACTTGGGCCTATGATAATGATGATAAGTAGGTATCTACCCAATCTCATTTTTTTTACAGAGCGCTTACCATTGTCGAGCTTTGGTCTCTTTAAAGAAGCATCCATAAGTAAGTAATGGATGCTTCTTATTAGGGATGTTATGGATATGTAGTTTCGGTAATGGATACGGTTACGGATATAGGAATAATACATCTCTATGGAATAATATTATACCGGTTTCGGTTACGGTTATGGATATTTTTTTATTTCGGATATCCGAAAGTTTCGGGTACGGTTACGGATATTTGTGCTTTAGAATTTGCAATTTGCAATAGTTGTCCAACACGGTTCATTCATGGCCGCACACTTTAAATCGAATAAAAAGTAATTAATCAGGCTGTCTGTCGTGTCTTTACATATAATGCTATGTATAGCATTTTTTTGTAAAAAATAATTTAAAACTGCCTAAATCTGAAACTATCCGAAACTTTTGAATCGGTTACGGTATCGGATATTTTTTATTTCGGATACCCGAAAGTTTCGGTTACGGTTACGGATATCCTTAACATCCCTGCTTCTTTTAGAAGAAAAACCTTATTTACCTACTTATTTGATTAAAATCAGAGAGAGTATACACTTACAAGAAGTTGCTTGGCAGATCGAAGGCAGCCCTTTGGATGTCGCCGGGCACGTCGAAGTTCTCACACAGGACCTTTGACAATGTCGACTTTCTGATCTCAGCCAGTTGGTGCTCAGTGAAACGGGCAGCTGTATTGTCGTTCTCATACCTGAAAATTGATTAATGAGAAGTAAAAATATCAGGATCATTATTGTACCGGATAATCGCTCGAGCCTCCGTTGACGGATAAAATCGATTTGATTAAAGCACCCTAGAAAATGTATTGACCGAAAGACTAAAATTGAATAAGTACTTAAGCCTTTGCGGGATATGCGCTGGCAATGTGGTTCGTTACGTTAATTTCTGTTCTAGTAACTACTTATAAGAAGATTAGAGTCGCTTCTCTTTAGTACAAGTTATCTTTAGTATAAGAAGTAGAGAGAATTAATGATAGCGTCAGATCTGTAATAATCTCCCTAAATGCATTAGTGTAGTCACAAAACATAAAAGAGGTTTCTGTTTTGTGGGTGTAGCATTCATAAACTGGGAAGTTTGAGACGGAATGTGTACCTAAGATACCATGTATGTAGGTAGGTGTACCTACTCACCAATATCTATCACACTTCCTAAGCTGCCTGAACTGGATGGCGATGATGCAAGCGAAGGTGGGTCCGACAAGACCTCCCTGCAGAGGCCTCTCGCTCATACCTCCCGGGAACAGATCGATGTCGTCCACAGTCGGGTATATCCTCTTTAGCCTGTGAAAAATAAAAAATAGTTTAGATTTGGGTAAACATAAGTAATTTTTAAAAGGAAAAGGTTTTTATCTTTAAGGAAAAAAACACAACAAAAGGGCTTCTGAAAAACTGAGAATCAAAAATACCTATTAAGCAGTTTTAACTGATCAAAACTAAGGGTAAAAAAGCATAACAAAGTGTTGTCATAGCCAAAGTTTGGGATATTATTTTAGGATCTCTAAAATAGGAAGCTACATTTTAAGGCGTTATTTGACCTAATTGATATTTCAGCTTCAGCAAAATATTTTTGTAATTTTTTGGTTAAGTGTCTTCTACATACCTAGCAATAACTTCATCAGGTATCTCTCTAGACAGGTCTTCAAAAGTAGCCGCCCTCTTCAAGTTACAAAGCGCCCTGTAGTTGTTGTAGCTCGGCATTCCATGGTCCCTTCCTCGCTGGATGTTCAGCGCGATCAGATCTATTCCAGAGAATGGGATCCTCCTGTCTTCGAAGAGGTGGTTGGTGACTTCTCCGGTGATGAACTGGTCGAGGGTCTCCATGGGAGTCGAGGAGAGACCGCGCATGAGCTCGTCAACCATTGAGGCGTGCTGTGGATGGAGAATGGAAGTTCGTAACATGTTTTTTGAAGGTGAGCCTTTTTTGACATCATTGTAACTATTGTGTTCTGATGCCTTCTAAGAAAGGTCAAGGTCACCACAATACCACAAAGGGCATATGCCTGGAGTTTCCCTATGCGATCGAATCAGAAATGAGAGGTCATCGCTCAGAATGTATAAACTTTAGTGCCAACTTAGTGGTCGGGGCACATAGCTCGTAAGAACTAGCCTTTGGGGTTTAAAAGTTCTCGAATGGCCGCGGCGGTTGCGGTCTTAACAACGAGAGGTCGATTCAGAGGGCTTAGTGTGAGTTTACATCAAACGTCGGCACTAGCGAAGCGCTTTAAATTTATGACGATTTTAGTTCTTGAAAGTTTCCGCTAGGAGCGCTGTACAATCCGTCATACATTTAATTTCACTTTTTTACGCAGTCGAAATCGAATGCGTTTGACGTAAACTCACACTACGCCCCCTGAACTACGTCACAATGGCTGGATTGTAGGTAGGCAAGCATTATTAACTCACGTTCATGAACATGTCAGGCTTGAAGAACCCATCTCGGAGCAGAATTGGAGGCTCTACTGGCTGGTAGGTGTGCGATAGTCGCGGCAGGTGCGGTCTCAACAGCGAGTGGCCGATTCTAAACGCGGCAGTCGCGAACTCCGTTACGATGGCCGGGTTGCAGGTAGGCGAGTATTCTTTGTAGTAGCCTGAAATTTGATAAATATTGTTAATAGGTAGGTACCTAATTAAACTTTCGTGGATTCAAACCAATGCAATGGCATTAGACAATTTAGGTACCAATATTTCCAAAGCGCAAGATAAGTAGGTAATTGAAACACATCCTTCGAGTTGGTCAAATTAATAGTGACCAGTTGCTATTTAAAATTTATAGGACTCCATTAGTTTTGACTGCTACTGATATTAAGTACCACTCGGTATACCTAATAGTGATAATTTTACTAGTAGGTAAATTATTATATACCTGGAATTACGCAAATAAATTTGATTTGATTTTAAAGGGGTGGCACACTTCACAACGATACCTTAAACGAAACAAAAAAATTGATACATCTCCGTGTTCTGTGGGTCTAGACAAAGTGCAAATTATAATCGCAAACCAGTCGAAATGTGGTCGAAAAGCCCCTTTTTTGTATGGAGTTTTGACGGATTCGATTTTCGATTCGATCAAAAAGTGCGTTTTGTCTAGGGGGGCTGGTCCTCACATTGGCAACGTGGTGGAATAAACGCAGAGATGTGTTAAGTATGTAGGTGGTTTATGGTTTTCGCAGCGAAGTTGTGCTAACAGGGTCAGGCGTTTGTCGTTTAGACCGACATCTAGATGCCCTCAATAAACATTTTCAAAACAAAAAGCCTTGAATAGACTACTTCTAAAGTTCAACGCTCTAATTTCAAGAACATAAAGTAAAGATAATTCTTACTAAGCTTTTACATTCTTCAGTACGATCAGCCTTTGTAAATAATACATTGCGTATTTGAAACTATTAAAAATGAAAATTATTCTTATACTTACTAGGTACTTACTATTAGAAAATCAAAAATCATAACACGACAGTAGAAAAAGTTTCGCGCGAATTTAGTTTTCAGGTAAAAGGTAAATAAATTAGAAAGTACTTACCTACCTACTTAAAGCATTAAACAATTAATATTAGCGCACATTTATTACGTAATGATATTATTATTACGTAATAAATTTAAAATTAAAGTAATAAACGATAATAAATCAATACCTACCAGCTCCTAAATATTTATCAAGATTTAATCTTGAAAAATAAAACAATAGAAATATGATGTAATTTATTTTGATAAAATAAAATGGCATTCGCGTTAGTGTAAAATACAAAAAGTTTTAATCGACCGTGACAGGACTCGAACCTGCAATCTTCGGATCCGAAGTCCGACGCCTTATCCATTAGGCCACACGGTCCTATGATGAAGCCGCCCAAATAGTACAACCCTTTCGTTGGCCATAGAAATGATATTTGATGTGTTAAATTAACACAAGCAAATTGTGTTAATTTTTACTTTGAATCTAATTTTATTAATTTAGATCAACCCATCAATGACGAAGGCTTTGTTCTATAACTTATTTACTTTGTTTATTAAATTACAGATGCTAAAAGATTCGATAAATGGGTCATATTTTGTTTGGGGTATTTGAAATACATAGTAGATTTAAGTAAGAGAGTAAAGCCCATTTTCACCATCAATCCCTGATTTTTAAGTGACATCTATGAAAACAAAATTCCTGCTGTGTTACCATGGGCTCCATAGGGGTCACTTAAAAATTAGGGATTGTTGGTGAACATTCAATTAAATTACAACTTCGGAATGTTTACATTATTATGTATCATGTAAATAACCTGTAGGAACAATTAATTATTATCTTTAACATGTTACACAAGTTACCTAAGCAACTTCATGAATTCTCGCATTGTTTTGTCAACATCAAATCAGACTACTTACCTATTACATTTTTGCAAAATCACCCCTATTTTAGGTGACATATTATGAGCCTTAGCTTGATGTGCCGTCGTCTTTACACAATAGATACGAGTAGGTATGTACTTAGAAGAGCAATATTTATAACTCACCAGAAGGCAGCAGTTTTAGTCCGTACAAGTTGACAGCGTTCCACGACAGTAGCCTCGGCAGGAACTCGTTGTAAATGATGTGTGTAAAGGATGCAGCGAGGATTCTTCTGGCATGTTCGAACAGGAGTTCCGCGTCCCAGTGAGGGTTCACTCCTCGGAGGCCTTCGACTAGACGGTTGTGTTCGCGGACGAAGATCGTGTGGATGGCTGTCAACCCTGGTTGTTCGGATGCTCGGCCGTCACCTGTGAATAGGTTTGCAAGTGGTTAATATAATGAAATTATTAAAAATACGCAGGACCGTTCATTGTGGAAAACCTTGGGGGAGGCCTTTGTCCAGCAGTGGACGTCATTTGGCTGAGACGACGACGACGACGACATAAGTCTATTTGATAACAAAACAGGTAATTTATCGTCATTTTATAAAAAGTTGAAAATTAATGCGAGTCTGAAACGATTCGCCCACAATCGTTTGATCCATGAATGGTTCATGCACAAAATTTTTCACCCGCTACTTATTGCTTAGCCCAAATAACGTTTCTTTCGCCCAATAACGATTTGGTAATATTTTTTTCGCTATGCACCTTCAAATACTTACTTACTAAGATCGAGAATAAAAATAAACGTTACATTGTTTAGGGGCACAGTAATAATAAGCGATTTAATGCCAGTTACTTGCATGTGTATTTATGACCTTAAAACTTTCAGGCCATAATAAATTGAACCCTCACAGCTTGCGGCCGATGCAGGGGTTCTTGCCATAAATCATTATTGTGTTCTGGGTTCCTTTACTCTAGGACCTGGTCATACTGTTCTTGTTCCTTACCAGCAATGAAGCAGTATCCACTGGGCGCCTTGCACTCCGGGTGGCTGTCGGAGCGCGGCAGCAAGTCTTTCCCTCCCAGAGGGTTGGTGGTCGCGTTCAGGGGTCCGTCGAACCCTTGTAGCTTGCGGACTATGCAGGGGTCTCTTCATGAACCACTGTGTTCTGGTTCCCTTTTAATTAATCTATAGGAACTGGTAATACTGTTCTTGTTCCTTACCAGCAATGAAGCAGTATCCACTGGGCGCCTTGCACTCCGGGTGGCTGCCGAGGGTTGGTGGTCGCGTTCAGGCGCCCGTTGAACCCTCGTAACTTGCGGACGATGCAGTGGTCTCATTATAAACCACTGTGTTCTGGTTCCTCCTTTACTCTATAGGAACTGGTAATACTGTTCTTGTTCCTTACCAGCAATGAAGCAGTATCCACTGGGCGCCTTGCACTCCGGGTGGCTGTCGGAGCGCGGCAGCAGATCCTTTCCTCCCAGAGGGTTGGTGGTCGCGTTCAGGCGTCCGTCGAACCCTTGTAGCTTGCGGACTATGCAGGGGTCTCTTCATGAACCACTGTGTTCTGGTTCCCTTACTCTATAGGACCTAGTCATACTGTTCTTGTTCCTTACCAACAATGAAGCAGTATCCACTGGGCGCCTTGCACTCCGGGTGGCTGTCGGAGCGCGGCAGCAGATCCTTCCCTCCCAGAGGGTTGGTGGTCGCGTTCAGGCGCCCATTGAACCCTCTCCGCTTGCGAATGATGCAGGGGTCTCAGTATGAACCACTGTGTTCTGGTTCCCTTACTCTATAGGACCTGGTCAAATAGTTCTTGTTCCTTACCAGCAATGAAGCAGTACTTATCCACTGGGCGCCTTGCACTCCGGGTGGCTGTCGGAGCGTGGCAGCAGATCCTTCCCTCCCAGAGGGTTGGTGGTCGCGTTCAGGCGCCCGTTGAACCCTCGCCGCTTGCGGACTATACAGGGGTCTTACCATAAACCACTGTTTTGGTTCCCTTACTCTATAGGACCTGGTCATACTGTTCTTGTTCCTTACCAGCAATGAAGCAGTATCCACTGGGCGCCTTGCACTCCGGGTGGCTGTCGGAGCGCGGCAGCANTTTAGATTAACTGCCTCCGCATCGACACTGAATTTATAAAAAAAGTTGATTTTAGACCTCACTTAGGCGCCACTATCTGTGCGATATTTAAATAAAAATATTTTTTTTTATCACAAATCGTTTATTGGTATGCTATATTTTCAATGTAAAATACACAAAAAAGCAAGGCTTTGGGTTTACAATTTTTTATAAGGGCAGTGAGGAAGCGCGAGAAGAGACTTTTTCTGGCCCTTTTCGCGACTCGCGTCTTTGTCTACTAGAAAAGCTCTGGAAACATGTGAGAAACTGCCTATCAATAAATTTGAACATATTGAAGGACAAATGTGATCGGAAATGGCCAATGATCTGAGTACTGATCAGCAGAACTTGCATAAAATTACTTCGGCGGTAATTAGGCTTATTCTCACAAAATCTCGCAATAATCTCTCCTGATGAACTGTAACATGCTCGTTAAATCACACGAGCGTACCGAATACTACGTTTGTATTGTAGGAACCTAAGATCCAATAGAAATTTTGATAACTTTGGCTACTTTTGTGGTCAAAGTCTATGCTCCTTCCTGGTTTTTAATTAAGACTAAACCATCATGAAAAGATGGCACCCGTCATCTGTTTAAAATAATTATGGCCTCGGGAGGCCTGTCAAAAACTATATGAAAAATTATAGAACTAGTTACCGAAAGAAACAGCTACTACGCGTATCCTGAAAGCAGTCTTCTTACGATGTCAGAGAGCTGGCCGCTTGTCGGATACTAAAGTCACACAGTGGGAGTCACCCTTCAATACCTAGACTTTTTTAAGTACCATTGATACGTTTTAATGCTATTTTATACAGTGTGAGTCACGTTAAAGTGTACATATGGAAATAGATGAAACTAGACCTATTTTTATCGACAAAAAAGAGGTCAAAACATTTTTGAGATTTTTTTTTAATTTTTTATCGAAAATTTTTCTTCCAATTACTTATTGTAAAGAAAACGGTAAAGAAAACTTTTTATTATTCTGTATCGTATTACCTTCGTAAAATTAAAAATCGCATGTCTCTATCCCTATCACAACGTTTGCAATGATTGTTTGAACTAAGCCTCTCCGGGCACGCCATTCAACGCTTCGTTGACAACGAAACTGAAAATGGCTCTAGATGTGTAATTTTGATAAAAACAAGTTAGATTTCAAATAAAAACAAAAGATTTCGAAGTAAAATAAGCATTTTAGTTAAAATTAAAATTGTCTCTACCTGTNTCAGCAATGAAGCAGTATCCACTGGGCGCCTTGCACTCCGGGTGGCTGTCGGAGCGCGGCAGCAGATCCTTTCCTCCCAGAGGGTTGGTGGTCGCGTTCAGGCGCCCGTTGATCCCTCGTAGCTTGCGGACTATGACCCTTGTAGCTTGCGGACTATGCAGGGGTCTCTTCATGAACCACTGTGTTCTGGTTACCTTACTCTATAGGACCTGGTCATATTGTTCTTGTTCCTTACCAGCAATGAAGCAGTATCCACTGGGCGCCTTGCACTCCGGGTGGCTGTCGGAGCGCGGCAGCAAGTCCTTTCCTCCCAGAGGGTTGGTGGTCGCGTTCAGGCGTCCGTTGAAACCTCGTAACTTGCGGACTATGCAAGGGTTCTCTCCGTATACCACTGAGCCGTCGATGAAAGCTGTGTTCTGGTTCACTTGTTCACGAGGTCCTGAGATGAATAAAGGGAGAGACATTGTAATATTTAGACTAACTAGGTATGTATTTTGAATCCTAATGGTATCACAGTGTTTAACTGTTGTGCTGATGCAGTGATGTGAATGCAGTCGTCTGTTCAAACTGTGAGTCTCAGAATTCATGAAATTCAGTCTCTTGGTTTTAATATGGCTTTTACACTACAAATGTAACTTTTATAGGGCTGATTGAATCAGGAGTTACTGAAAAAAGCTATGCTGGACTGATTTGCTGTGAATAAATCTAGTCTAACTGTATTTTATTTACCTATTCAATACCTTTAAAACATGATCATAAGTTTGGAAGCCAAATAAAAATGTCTTTTATAAAATATCTCTCCCTACTATATTGAACGCCAGATTTACTGCGACAAAAGGAATCATATCGTAGTTTACCACATTACAATTATGTAGGCATTTATCTTACCCAGCTGTTGTTGTCCAGGCAAACTCCTCATGAATGGGAAGCAAAGCCTCTCCCCTGACGTCACATTCACTTCGGGGTAGTAGTGGTCTCCTCGGGGAACCGGGAACGGGTTGCATTCGGGATGCACGGTGCGGGGCGACTCGCACGACCGGCAGTCAGGGATGGACTCGTGGAAACCTGGGAAAATGGAATCAAAATACTTATTTAACTATATTCATTCACAAATATGTCTGACTTCCTGAACGGTCCAGCAAGTATTTTATTCCTAAGAATAATATGCTGTTCGCATAACATTAAACTTTATCTTATACAGCGCCCCGATTGCGCTAAATATTTTCAACTGCAACGCGACTGGACGACCATCGAACTTCAGCTGTCTTGACAAATCCGTATCGCGGTGACGTTTTGAAAGCTAATTCAGACGAAGTTGTAACGTAAACGGAGTGCAACCGCGCATTTGAGTAAAAGCTGACAGAAAGCTAATAAAGCCCGGTCTGTGAGCACGTAGAATTTTGTCCAATGACCCCAAGCTACCCATCCTTATCGCTCGTACGTAATTATATTGCTGTCGCGACTGTGCGACGGGCGCCCGCAGTGAGTGTGCGAGCGCGATAGCAACATAATTACGCGCGAGCGATAAGGATGGGTAGCTTTGGGTCATTGGACAAAATTCAACGTGCTCGCAGACCAGACTATCAACGATTTCGCTAATTTCAATTTATCACAGTCTGTAGTACAAGTAAGGTAACCTTCATGAAATTAATCCAACTAACCTTTGTGAATGGGCGTCATAGTAAGCTCGTGGTCCACAAACTGAGCGAACTGCATCACCATCAGCGTATACCGCGTGTGAAGGTTGGAGATATCAGGGTGGATCACGGTGGAGATGATACGAGGTGACGGCAAAGGTGTACCGGTAACGGAGTTGATGCGCGGACGGGACACGCCTGGAATTTTATGGGTAGATTTAGAAAAATAGACGGGAATAGTCTCGCCTTTATTTCCCACAACTGTAACTCCTGTAAAAGGATCTACAGCTTGGCCTTCAATAAAACCCAAGTCCCAACCAGTGAAGGTTGAGTAGAATAATTATATAATATATTAATTCTTTTTTACGCACAAGTTATCACGTCCAAAAACGTCGCAAAACTTAGGTACCTAGGTGGTTGTACCTACTTTGTGAGTTGTGACTTATTTTGACGAGTAGGTAGGTAAAATATCAAGTCTATCTGCTGTTTTGTTTCGGAGTAAAATGAGAAAAAATCTATTAACTAAAAAGTTATGGTAACAGATTCTTACTCCTCCATGTCACTTTACTCACCGTCCTCATATCCTGTGTATCAGGGTCGCAGCTTCCGTTTTCGTTAAACTGGGGCTCAATGGTAGGTCCAAGGTCTTAGAATAATGGCTGGTCTAATTTGTATACTTTATGTATAAGATACTCACCATCTTCATACACTGGAGGCAGCAGTCTAGCGAAAGTCGTCAAACTTTTTCCCAAGTTAGGGTTCCTGAGATTGTTGCAGTATCCAGTATAACTCCTGAAGGGTGTATCGGGGTCGCAGCTTCCATTCTCATCGCACTGAGGCTCGATGGTGGGTCCAAGGTCTTGGCCAAGGAATCCGGTGACGTCGACCGATTGGAGCGAGTCTACGAAGTCATTGGTACCGAAGCCGAGAGAGTCGTCGAAGATCTGACGTCTGCGGCGGCGGTGGCTGTGAATGAACAAGAATTTAGAACATATTGTGCTACGAATAAAATAATGATAGTATAGCAGAATAGATCTTGTTACAAAGGACCCTCGCGCATTTTAGAGTGCCACAAAAATAAAAACAATATAGGTACTCGTAGTAAGTAGTAGTACAGAATAATAGTACCTACCTACAGTAAATCAGTATGTCTGATGTACGACAACGAAAAAAAGAAGAAGAAACTGAACCTAATAGGAATCTAATCTGGAACTTATGTTGCATTTTAGACGAATGGATGATGAAGTCTCGAAATACTGTAAATCAGTATGACTGATGTACAACGAGAGAAAAAAGAAGAGATTTAACCTATTAGGCATTTAATCTGGGACCTATGTTGCATTTCAGACGAATGGCTGATGAAAATTAGAAAACCAAATTCTTTATAAATAACCCTCCCTCTGGCGCAGTTAGGTAAAAACATACTCAGTCATATTTACACAATAAAGGCTAACATAACTTACCTGCCGTGAATAGTGTTCAGAAGCTCATTGGTAGCGAATTCAAAGAAGAGAGAGGTGTTGGCCAGCTTCAGCGCGTATTTGTTAGCCTTCGAGAACGAGGCAGCAGTGCCCACTGGAGATTTAGGATCAGCTCCTCCACCTGAAAAGAAATGTCCGAATGAAGAAAACATTGTAATATTTTGTTAGAAGGTCAAAGTCAGTAGGTAAAAGGTCTATTCACACATAAGTATTCGTGAAACAACAGTTCCGTCAAGTGTTCGTTCAGTCCAGTATCAGTGTTGCGTCAATGGTTCAATTCAGCCATGTGTCTTGAGAAGACTCTCAGTCAGCTTCCTTGGATCTACTCTCTTGGCACCAGAACTCCAGTCAGTTTTGCTGGTAGTATGAACCCGGGAATATATGTTACTTAGAAAGACTTAAGTACTTGTCTCCCACAGCATGTATTCCAGCTTCTTCCTGTCAGCCATCTCCTGCTTGCTTAGCTGCTTTGGTACCGATCTCGTCACACCAGATCCTTAGTCGTCTAGAAGTGGGAACCCTCAGATAGAATATACTCGTACAGAAGCTAAGTAGTTTACAAAGACTTACTTGTCTCCCACAGCATGTATTCCAGCTTCTTCCTGTCAGCCATCTCCTGCTTGGCCTTCTCTATGGCGGCGGAGAGCATGTCTTGGGACAGCTTCTCAGCTGTCTTGGAACCACTCTCGTCACACCAGATCCTTAGTCGTCTAGAAGTGGGAACCCTCAGATAGAATATACTCGTAGTATCTACAAAAACTTACTTGTCTCCCACAGCATGTATTCCAGCTTCTTCCTGTCAGCCATCTCCTGCTTGGCCTTCTCCAGGGCGGCGGAGAGCATATCTTGGGACAGCCTCTCAGCTGCCTTAGCGCCGCTTTCGTCGCGCCACGCGGAGAGTTCTAGACGGCTGTGCTGGGAGCAGTGTTGGGCTGCGTTTCTGGAATTAAATTGTATAATAGGATGTTATTTCTGTGGTGAAAGAGTTATCCCTAAGTGTCTCAAAGTACCTAGTTCCTTAGTGAATAAAATTGAATCGAATATCATATTGATATTATATTCGATTCAATTTTATCGAATATCATATTGATTAATTTAAGCCGTGTGGTGACGGCAGAGTAGAATACATTTGTCACCAACCCCTACTCTTCCCGCGGGTGTCGTAAGAGGCGACTTAGGGACTACACATCAAACAGAGAATGGGCAGCAGCGCTCTCTGAAAAACATCAATCTTTTAAACTGCGATCTCCAACCCGCCTGCCTAGCGTGGAGATTATGGCAAAACCCTCCACTATAGTGGAGGAGGCTCATAGTCCAGCAGTGGACTGTAAAGGGCTGTTGATGATGATGATGATCATATTGATATACACCCAAAGAATTAACATTCGTAAAAAAACTTAAAGAACTTTTAATTTCTAAACACTATTATGCTCTAAGTGAGTATCTCAACGATAAATTACTAGGCTCTAACTTCTGACATCTTTCGGTTGATCTAGGGTGGTCCTCCTCTCTCCTAATTGCCGTGCCCTACAGGGCCCATAATGTTCTAATTTTAAGTACCTACATAATGGATTCAATAAAATATTGAGTATTGAGTATATTAGTAACCTAGTAAATATAATTATTTTAGTAAAAAAAAATTCACCCAGAAAGGTACTAAAACAAAATTTTAAATAAGGTACTAAAACCTTAAATTCGAATTTAATACACTTGTGCCCGTTTTCACTATCAATCCCTAATTTTTAAGTGACCCTTATGAAAACAAAATGCTTGTTATATGTGTTACCATAGCGGTCACTTAAAAATTAGAGATTGATGGTGAAAACGGGCATTAAGTAGTTACACTTTTCTCGAGGACAGTTTATTCCTGAGTAAAACAGAAGTTAGTTCCGTCTATGGAAGTGGTTTTTGATAGATGATAGAGTAAATGTAAGTTTTAAAAGTTTTCAATAGAAGTAGAGAAGTAGGTATAAAATACTTACAAGTAAGGGTCTTCCTTGACGAAGGCTTTAGGCTGGATTTTGGATAGCGAATCGTCGGAAGTACACAGAAGTCCCGCAAGGGAAACCTTCCTGATCGCTGCCAGCTGTTCAGGCAAGAATGACGATGGGGGGATGTCGTTTTCGTACCAAAATCTGCAAAAATAAAATGCTTTAAGAGAAAATAAGGCTATGGAAGAACTAATCGGCAGGAGATACAAAAACTTTGAAGTTATTGTTGATTACAGAGTCGATTCGTCACAAGAAAAAATCATGTAGGTACCTACCTATCGAATTTCGTCTCACTTTTCTCGTGACAAATTCGCGTATAGTGCTTATACTATCACTCATCACTCACTTACAAAACTGTGACTGATCGACTTTGTGGCAAATTGACTAAACCGTAAAGTTGCCCAAGATAGTAAAAAGACTGAATGTTATGGAACTTTGAAATAGTTACCGGTCGCTTTTCTTCAAATTGGCGAACTGCAAAGCCAAGACGCAGGCAAGGGTATGGCCGACCACCGCACCTGTGGCGGGTTTCTCCATAGCGCCACCGAACAGCAGCTCAACGTCTTCTGCGTTCCTGGAAATACAAAATACCTATGTTTTAATTACTTAACCACGTCACAAACAATATAATATGCTTACGTCGATATAAAACTCTTAACGGAGATGCGATCTATGGCGGAGCAATTTGGTTTAAGGTTTCAGAATGTTAGTTTGAATGCAGAAGTTTGCAAATCAAGACGGAACACAAAGCATAGACCACGCCAAGAATCTTTGGTATTATCGCAAAAACATTGATATATGTAATATTAATTACCTAGATGGACCAAGTAATTTGAGTTAACCTCATGCCAAGGGAAAAGTTTTTCAGGAAATTCTTTACTTTTTCAGAGGAATTTAATTTACTAAGGCACACTGCACGACTAAGGCCCGATTCAAACAAACTTTTATCCGAGAATAACTCCTGGTATATTTGGCACATTGAATTTCAGTATGGGAAATAATAATGTCAAAATGTCGGGTGATTTATTCTGAGAAATATTTACTCTTGTTTGGTCGAATCCACCCTAAAGGAGTTAAGTAGCTTGACCTTATGATCTAACCTGTACATATCAGCCATGACTTCCATCTGCGTCCTGTCAAAGCCCATTTTCTCGAAGTCCCCGAAGGTCTTGATAGATGAAGTTGGCTCGCACATCCTGAGAGCTCTCAAGTAAGGGGACACGCCGTGGTCTCGTGCTCTGTTGACGTCCCATTCGGCAGAAGGGGGGAAATGAGACACGTGTTGTGCGCTCGTTCGGACTAGTTGACTCAGGGTGACAGTCGTGTTTATCTGGAAATAAAAAATGAGCTAAAGTTAGCCCACAAGTGAACAGACGACCCCATAAAGGTAGCAAGAAGGCGCTGGATGCAGGCAGCTATTAACTAACTGGTCAATCTGGAAATCATTGGGGGAGCTCTATGTTCTGCAGTGGATGTCCAGTAGCTGAAAATGATGATGAGCTTAAGTGGATGTAATGCGGTAAGTATTATCAGGTCGTTTAGACTCCACTGCATGAGGAAAACTCTTATCTAATTTACCAGAGGCAAATTGAGAATTTTGCCTTCACTCTCCACGCTATCCAAATGGGTTGATGAGGCCTGAGTCCTGACTTTCGCATTTATTTCGTCTGTTACGGTATCCAATTGAAGAATGAAATTTGTCTTATTCTACTCTTCCGGAATCATATAGGAATAAAATGACCAATTCAGGAAGACTTACCAATTTCTCTCTCTACCGCCTTACTTATTAAAATAGATAGCAATAAGCAATGTTTATCACAAAAATGTTGCATCTAGTTTATTGATTAATTTAGCACTTACAATACGTTTTATCAGTATGAACATTGGTGTGTAAAATTTTTGAAGGCGCTTGTAACAATGTACTTTATCTTTGTTATTCACTTGTTTGTTACGTATTTATGTCAATAAAGAAATTTTAAACTAACCAATTTCTCGTTCATCATAGCCTTGAATATGGGAGCGACGGCTACCAGTTCAGTGTAAGCACCCGCTCTGTTTGCACTCGAGTATCCTCGCCAGAATCCGAGGCTTTGCAACTTCAGCTCCGCTTTGGCCATTCCAACCTGAAAAAAACCATAAAATTACAAGAACCGAGGGAAGACTCAAAATGGAACAAAAAAGACAAAAGGCAAACTACCTACATATAGTTTTGTGATAAACAATTGACTTATTTATAGCCTGCTGTTAAGCAGTGCAGACTACATATTTTTGTCGGCAGATCCTTTAGACGGGCTGATAATACGTATGAATAACATGTGTGAAAGTATGCACATTGCCCTGATTTCGATATTCGGTATTTGGTATCGGCCGATTCTTCGTATAAATCAGAAGTCTACCAAATGATAGATCGACAAAATGTCTGTAGGTAGTCTGCGGGGACTCTAAGCTGGACGAGGAGTTAATTATCTCGAAGTTTTATCATGGGTTAAGGATGAAGATTTCTAAATTGTTTTTTTAAGGTTACTAGTTCTTCCTAAATTCCCTTACCTCACCCAGAAGCACGGGCAGGAACTCGTTGTAAGTGATATGTTGGATGACAGCGGCCACCGCTCGTCGTGCCTCCAGGAATAGAGTGGTGTCATCCCAGAAGGGATTCAGGGAGTACAACTCTCCCGCGATGCGATTGTGCTCAGACACCAACGCCTTGTAGAGAGGAGCGGTTGGTTTGCCATCGTTGCATCTGAAAGAGTTTCAGGTTTGTTTACATGGTTTCTTGAATATTTCACTTTCCGTTATTGCATATAGTGCTATGAATCCAATACGTGCTTATTGCCTGTAGAGCATTTAAGTGGCTCAGTAAGATTAATAGGCTCGTACGTTGCAGGAAACTAATTTAAAATTAATTTTATCATGTTGCATAATTATGCATCAGCACATGCTGATGAATGAAATGTACACATGCATTTCAAAGTTTTGCCATAATATTTATTGTCGTCAGGAAAAACACATTCAGTAGGTAATGGTATTCCTGCTTGTTTTAATTGAAACGGATTTTGCTTCTTCGACCGGATTGTTAACCTCAATGAAATGCCTATGCTAATACGGAGAAGATTAATATCATTGGCGGTGTACAAATCATCTCAAGGTTGGATCGTAAACGTATTTGCATACAATCCATTTCTGTGACGACACTAGAAATTCCAACATCGTATTGCTTTTAACCGTTGGTACGTTTTACCTATTATAAGCAAAGAATAGGGTACACAGATGATAAATATGTTCAAGAACAATGGATAGTCGAAAAGTAAGTAGGTACGCCATTGAGTTTCATGGATGGACATTAGATACATAAACTAATCAGTAGCTAGTAGCTACTGCACAGAAGAACAATACGACGTGGGAAATGATATAAGTTGACTTGAAACAATGGGGTCTGAGTAACATTAATTTAACACCTCTGTAAGTGGGTGCAAGAAACCTGCACTTTATGGTAGGGGTTAACAAAGGACGTACAAAAACATGGATAATTGTAGGCTCGCAAGAAAACATAGTGGACCTAATCATTGTTATCGTTTTCCGGTTCTTGTTGCGTCTTGGTTTTAACGTGCGCAAAAACATAATATGTACAGTGTATCAGTTCAAAAAAATAACTCACAGGGGTAATTAACACGCATTAAACAATATTCTTAATGCGATTCAAAGGGGGATTCATAATATTAGAATTGGCTACAATTTAACGGACAGATGTTATACACTAACTTCATGGAATGTCATCGAAATAGAATTATGAAAGCATAATGTTACTGCTATGCTAGATTACATTGGTATTACATTGTTTTATATGCTGTATTACATACAATCATAGGAAACGAAGTCAATGTTAAATAATGTTCCGCACGAACAGATTTTCTATTGGGTAACATGTGATGTTAAGAATGTTTAATTTAATTAATAAGTATCTACCTAATTTACACTACTATAACTATGTTGTAAAAAATTAAGTATTTCGTACTATTATGATGAATGGGCTTGCTTTTGCACAATTTTATTTGAAGGAAATACGGTGGAGTGAACTTGCCTTCGACGAGTTATTATTCTCACGTGCTCGAATATTTTATAGACTTTTGGAATCTTTACAAAAGTATCTCTACTTTATACCACTTATGTTCACCAGAAATCATCTAGAGTAGGATTAGTGGTGAAAGATTTCTTTAAATCGGGAGAGTAGTTTCGAAATCTATTCAATAAGACAACAAGCAACATTTCCTCTTTATGATTCCTAATATTAGTGAGATTATGTCTTATTATGCCTTTCAAGTATTGCTTCTTTATTGTTGTCTAGTCTAACTAGTCTATCTAGCTATTTGAAACTAGTAAATAACTAGTTGAAACTACTTTGTACTTACTTCCTACACGAGTCCAGGTCCAGTTTTCCAGCGTCGTAGAGTCGAAGCGATCTCAATTCTTTCTCGGAGCTGCCGTATAGAGCCGATCCGTCGAGGAATGACGTAGCCAAGTTCATCTGGTCACGGTGTTCTGGGGAAGGTGGAAGTATGCAGGTAAATTGGACAGTCGGTGAGAATATTAAGCCTTGGGTTATTTATTTATTTGAACACCAACAAGGTTACATTGAGGCTTCACAAAAGTAACTATAAAAAATGACACTTGTTAAATGCAAACTTAATTATAGGTGAAAACATCATGCGTTAGAGACTAAATATATTAACTACTTCAAAAGTCTGTCAAAACTCCGTACAAAAACACTGGTTATGATGCTGCAACTAAAGCTAAGGCTGGGCACCATTTTAATTTCACTTCAAAAGTAGGTAGTATGGTGGTGCAACTCAGGGTTAGTGTTAGAATAAATAAATTAAGGACGAGATTCGAATACGAGTTATTGTAGAGCATATTGGATATCGTTTCTATATTGATACTTAACGCTAACCAGGCTTAGCTAGTTATTTCATAACGAACTATCTGGAATACCTCTTCTAGTACGATTATGGCGAAATTGCTATCATGACATTTATTACATAAAAATAATTTTAAAACCTAATAAAAACTGTTAAAGTTTAGATTTCAATTAGTAGCTCCAAATCTGGCACGCTGTTCCATTTCTTAATTGTTATTTTTAATTAGAAACATCAGAGCAGACAGGTCAGACAGAGAATTAAAAATATGGCCGTAATTAAATTAGACGATCAACTTGCCTACGTGTGATGGCTTAATTAGTTTAGCTTATCAACGATTTGATAGCAGAAGAGAAAGTAAACCAGACCGATCCACATAACATTCATAACAAAACCCATTCCGATACTCGCGCCGATAGGGGAGCTCGAGGAGAGTTGTGATTTTTAGAAACCTTGCATCAGCGCGTAGTTATTTGTTAGCCCGAGACTTGAACTAAATTTACTGTTACGAGCTCATTACCATCATCATTTTAGCCGTAGGACGTCCACTGCTGAATATAGGCAATATTAAAGGCCGGTTGGTAGAGCCTGCATCCAGCGCCTTCCTGCTACCTTTATGACGGTAGACGTCCTTCGCTGCGCTTTCCGGTACGTGGCCTCCACTCCAGAATCTTGCTGCCCCATCGGCCGTCAGTTCTGCGTACTATGTGCCCTGCCCATTGCCACTTCAGCTGGCTAATGTTACGAGTTCGATAATAAGTTAAAAAAAAATACAATATCACAACTCTCTTCTGTTACAACTCATCTCGGTCTCCCCTAATATGTTAATTAACGATTATGTCAATGTTACAAAATTTTGTGAACGCCTGAAACCAGTTTACGACGGACATTTCCTAGTTCAATCTTTTTCGGTTATCTTTGATTGGATATTAAACCTTAAAACAAGTACTTAGGATACATTTTTGTAATTATTTGAGACAGGTGAGTTTATTTCAAACAACTCGTAGGCACTCACCGTAAAATTGATCAGACTTGTTATTATTTAAACATAATGGGTGTTTTCGTGCTTAGAAGCTTATTAATCTACTTGCAGTATTATTTAGCTAAGTATATTAAACTCTATCTTTGTTATACACCGGTTACATTTTCGATAATTGGTTAGTTTAAAGTAAGTAGGTACCTATAGCACTTACCAAAGCCACACGAGTCATAGTTTCTGGCTGGCGCTGACCTGGTGTACTCACAGCCTGAACCTTGGCACTCCTGTCAAAGAAAATAAAGCAATTTGTGAAATCCCAACTAATATTATAAATGCGAAAGTAACTCTGTCTGTCTGTCTGTCTGTCTGTCTGTCTGTCTGTCTGTCTGTCTGTCTGTCTGTTACGCTTTCCCGCTTAAACCTCGCAACCGATTTTGATGAAATTTGGCATAGAGATAGTTTGAGTCCCGGGAAAGAACATAGGATAGTTTTTATCCCGGTTTTTGAAACAGGGACGCGCGCGATAAAGTTTTTCTGTGACAGACAAAATTCCACGCGGGCGAAGCCGCGGGCGGAAAGCTAGTAAAGTATAAAAATACATATTAGAATTCATAGAATCTAAAAGGCTTCAAGTTTAAAGTTTTTTAGGGTTCCGTACCTCAAAAGGAAAAAACGGAACCCTTATAGGATCACTTTGTTGTCCGTCCGTCCGTCTGTCAAGACCCTTTTTCTCAGGAACGCGTGGAGGTATGAAGCTGAAATTTATATCAATTACTCAGGTCTACTGTCCCTTGAAGCTGTGAAAAAATCAAACTTCTAAGCCAACGCAATCAAAAGATACAGCCGTTTATGCCGCAAATTTTCGACACTAGCAAGGGAATCAAAACCTACAGGGTGCTTCCCGTGAACTCAGAATCTTGAAATTTGGTACAAAGCAACGTCTTATAGCATAGATGAAGGAAAATTTACGAAAACCATAAATTTTTAGTTACATCACATAATATATTTTTTTTAATAATTTTAAACTTACTACCCATTTCCTCATAAACGCGTAGAGGTATTAAATTGAAATTCATACCAAATACTCAGGTCTATAATACCTTTAAGCTGTAACAAAATCAAACTTCTATGTCAACGCAATCAAAAGAAACAGCAATTTAAGCTGCATATTTTGAAACTCGCAAGTACTCGCAAGGGAATCAAAACCTAAAGGGTACTTCCATTCGACCTAGAATCTTGAAATTTGGCATGAAGCAACGTTTTACAGCACACATAAAGGAAAAATTCCGAAAAACTTAAATTTTTAGTTACATTACAAAATATATATTTTTTAATAAATATAAACTTATTTTAAAACCTAATAAAAACTTTTTTCCTCATAAACGCGTAGAGCTATCAAGTTGAAATTCATATCAAATACTATAAAATAAAGGATTACTTAAACGATAAAGAGATCTTTGTCTTAAATTTATGCTCCTCCATCTTTCCCCATTGTAATGTTATGAATTTCATTTTGTAATAAAAATACCATAGTTATGACTCGATTGTAACGAACTTTGTAAACCTTGCAGGTTTGTACGGAACCCTCGGTGCGCGAGTCCGACTCGCACTTGGCCGGTTTTTTTGGGGAAGCTTGCTCTATCCTTAGAGCCTTGTAAAACAGGCAAATAATGATTGCATGATAAATAATCATTGGTCGGAGATTCGAAAGTGCCTACTGTCTACCTAATAATTATTTTAAACGAATTTCCACTTCTAATCAGATCACGTCTACATGTTGGATGAGTTCGTAAACAAAGCTGATTTATAAATTTAAGAACCCCGATATAAAAATGATTTGCTATGACTTAATTTTAGACTAGACGTCATTACATTATGATTTAATCGACTTAGTTACAAATTGATAGTTTAAATCGTTATTCTGTTCACTTATTTGTCATAATACTCTGCTGCTATTTTGAAACCATAATTACACGATTACAATCAAAAGCTTATTATCAGATAAGTATATTATGTGCATCAGCTTTGACGGTTCTTAATGCAAATCATTGTAATTTAAGTAATAATCTAATCTATTTCTTCATCTAGGTATATAAACTACTATTTTAAGCATCCGTTTTATTATCTACAACGGTAAGATCTTACTGGGTCATTACAATAATAATCAAGCGGTTTTATTACTATGTTTAGTAATGAAGCTAATTGAAGTTGACATTTTAGTGTCGTAGTTAAATAACTGATGAGATTAAAATATCAATTCAACTACAAATGTTGCAATTAGATTCAGTAGCAAGAATTCATTTAGTAGCAATATCTAAGCCTAATTATAATATACCTACCTACCATTAGCTTTAAGACTTTCGTTTAAATACAGCACGTCATTGAAATAGGTAAGCCAAAAGTTCAGGCAACTAACATTTTATTAGTTCATATCGTATTAAAATGTTATATCGTGAATGATTGTTGAAGTAATAACATTTCTTTAATTTGATGTCTATTAACTTTGATTTATGGCTCTACAATGAAGCAACTAGGTAAGCGTGCACTGCGTTGCTCACACAATTTAGTTACTTTAGTGAAGACAGAAAATCAATTAATTAGTTCTTGTCACTGAAATAACTATTTTACGTTAAAATAATGAAAATGGAATGGAATGAAAAAAACTACGTCTAAACTAGTCATTCTCAAATTGCAAGAGCGCTGAAAACAGAGTAAATAAGATAAACATTAAAGATTCCTTATAAAAATTATGTAGGTAACTAGGCACTCAAAATCTGTGCACGCTGTGTCTGCATGTGTATAATATTTTGTGACATACCCAAAACAACAAGGTGTGGTGTCTCGCCAAAGGTTAAAAGGCGCTATAAAACTTAATTTTGACCATTAATTCATAAAATTACTAAGGTTAGGGTTCACTAACAGACGACACTAAATATTTCCTTAAATAGAATCTAGATTTTAATATTTATTTAAATCTTTTTAGGTAATTGTAATACGCGTGTACGAAAAAAGTCAGAAGCGAACACACCATTCATTTAATAATTTAAAAAGGTTAGATATGAACAAATTACCTACTTATTAAAAACTTGTTTAAAATACTTTTTGACTAATCAAGAGACCTCATAGGGGTCTTGTCAAATGAATTATCTTTATTATCAACCACAAACAATGCCTAAACTACTCGCATAGCTTTCTCTACACGCCTGCAGAATACGTAATTTGTATGGCCGTATTTTTAAATCAACATTGTGTAATATTCTTTAGCCCGGCTTTGTCAACTGTAAACATAATAATGTTCTTGAATTTGAATAGGATATGGAGTTATTTGTTTATGTAGGGAGAGCGCATATAATTGGCCGTGTCACAGACAAATAAAGTTTCACTTACAAGGTAATCCTCTTCATCGTTAATTTCTTCAAGTAGGTATGTAGCACAAATACAACGTTATATTTCTTTAATTAATTAATCAAAATGCAGTTGTCTTTTCATTCGAGTACTTATTATACTTAATATCTTACGCCCGTATTCACAAACATTACTATGAGTTCTCACAGTGCATGTGGACGCACAGGGTGACACACGAACCAATCACAGAGCTCTCTTCAACGCTGTGCGTTCGATTTGCTGCTTTTCTTAAGCGAGCATCGTTTGTGAATAAGGGCGTTAGTGAAGTGATAGACATGAAAAATAATTCCCGCCAAAACAAAAAATATCACAGATAAAAAAAATATATTTTTAAAACGAAAGAGTTGGTTTGTGTATTGTTTATTATTGAGTGCCAGTGTGCAATATTTATATTTACATTTCCGTGTTTTGTTTTGTTGCAATTTTTTACGTTGTATTTTTGCACCAAGAATATTGGAGTTAAACCGCAAACAATTGGCGAAATAAATAACAAAGGCTTTCTTGCACAATTATTATTATAGAACCCTTAACAAGAGAAAATCAAATACATCCTCTGAAATTGCCAAAGTGATATGATTTTAGACCTAATCAACTACATCCGTACCAAGACAATATGTTGTTATTAGAGTAACTAACGCCATTATTTTGGTAAAGTGGTTTATTAAAGTTAACTACTTCGATAGAGCGGCAAACCTATACTCTTTAGAACGAGAGATCGTCTATTCTCTATTACTCAACTGCTTTCACGTGACATAACCTTTCTCTGCGACCCGCGAACTATCACGAACGTTACGAAACGTTATGTCAAGTATTCGATAATCAATTTCTTTCATTCCTCATTCAATTGCATTGCTGCCTTGACCTGATTCTGCTGGTATCGCTATGTTAAGTGTGGTAGCAATAATGTTAAGTACCAGCAAAGCAGTTAACAACCCATGAGCCTAGCCACTTTTTTTTTATAGATCACGGATTAAATTGAAAAATCGTCCATTTGATCTTATTTGAACTTAGAACTTCAAAGTTATTATTTAGAAATGTACCGAAAAAAAAAATAGAACAAAAATAATTTGAAAATGGGACTGGCCATTACCAATTTGAAAAAAAAAGACGCGCGGACAAATGTTGTTGATCCTCTCTAATCTGTGGCTTTATCCCCTTGTTGTGCAGTTACTAAGCCATGTTACTACCTTATTCATTACTTTTTACACAGAAATGCTTCTATTTAGTCATTAAATAAATTGTAGCGTATAAAGTGCAGCAGTTGACTTTTTTACTAAGACTGATGCTATTTTTACGGTAATCTGACCAATGAGGAACCTTTTACATGTAACCTTTCATGCGTTTCGATCTCACGGTGTAGATTTAATAGCTTTGAAGCAGCTGTCAGTCTATTAACTGTATAATAGCCCGTAATTGGTCTAGTGTTGGTCAAGTTCAAGTTGGTAGTCGTGAAAAAATCAAGTGGAAGGCATCAATAGAGCTATGGCTACGGAACGTTGCAACACTGATACATCAGTAGGTACTGTCAACGTCAATAAAATCTAACAAATAAATACGACTGACATTGACTCTGAATTGTTTACGTGCTCTTACAATGTGTTACATACTTTACAGGGTGTCTTTAATTTAATTTAGGTATTTTAGTGTAACATTACAATTCCTATTTCACTAGATTTTTCATATTTTATTTTTTAAGAATGCAGGATTATATTGGCGTCGACTGTACCTCTAAACACCGGTTTTCGACGTCACGACCGATTGGTCGTAGGTTACACGTAACATACACGTATTTGTAGATAATTAATGAGGAAATGGGCATGGCTAATTTGTTCCGCCGCGTTTGGAGGTGCCTAGATGAAAATTATAAAATTAGATACATCAAGGTGTTCTTGTTTATTTCCTATGTATGTATAGTGTTAAGATTTTTATCCGCATTGAGATGTATGTGTCTTTTTTGACACATAATGGTAATTAATTATAATTTATTCTAAACTTCCCGGAGTAACTCTGAGTTGATCATGAAGGTAAGTAATATTATGATACTAGCTTTTGCAGACGGCTTCGCGCATGAAATTTCGCTTATCACAAATCACCTATATGTTACTCGGATGTAAGCAATAATAATAATTTAATTTACAAAGTTTCATCAAAAATCCGTTCAGTAGTTTTTGCATCAAAGAGTAACAACCATCATTCATACTTTCGCATAATATTAAGTAGGATGGGCTCATTTTGTGAAGCGAGCTTAGACCACTTTTTATGCTTAAGCTATAACATTATTTGTAATTTGACTATCAAAAATATGTTATCTAAAGCTTAAGAATGCTGTGGGTGTATACATAATTTAAATAATGACTAACAGCTTGAATATTAAGGATACAAATCCTTAATAGAGATGTAATGCTAAGATTGATGATCGATTTAGAATTTACAGCGTTGATTTGAAACCGAGAACATGATGTTCTTTGTGTAGAACAATGATTGTTATTATAGCCAAAGTCTGTAGGTACAGAGAACGGCACATCAAGTTTAAAATTGTAGCATCTTATGCAGTTGTAATTGGGGCTATTTTAGAACAAAAATGTAGAGCTTGATGTGCTATCACTACAAAAACAAGTCTCCGTTATACGCAGCATAGTAACTAGTACAACTAGTGCCACGAGGTCGATGAGATAATAATAGGGGGAGTGTCTGTACTTACATAATGTTTCATTCAGGTTTGTATGAAATTAAGATTATTATAAGCGATAGGTTGTACCGACTCAGCACTTAGACAAACTTAATACTTTAATGAATAGCTTAGAATCTGAAGGTACGTACTTCTTAGTAATCGTTAAGAGTTAATTTAATAGTAAGAATTTAATGTAAGCGAAACTATTTAGATCATAAGTAAGTATTAGGTAGGCACTTTAATTTCGTAAATCAGAAAGTTTGTAGGTAATTCGAGATTTCTTTGTTTTGATATAGGTATGTTCATTATAATAATAATAAATACTCTTTATTGCACACCAAAGAACAGAACAGAAAAAAAGAAACACACGGACAGGTACAACTAGGCGGTCTTATCGCTATGGAGCTTGTTCATTGTGCTTAGGTATTGGATAGGTTGAAAGAAAATCCTGAAGATGTCGATTTACGTTACATTACAATACATCGAATCCCACAGGATTGAAGTCGCGAGCAAATCAAAAGTATTATGTACCTTATTCCCATTAGCAGTGGCGACAAGGTCGTGCATCAGCATCTGTCCCCAGGCCGCAATCAGGCTGGTGACGTAGTCGTGGTCTGCACTCCCGGACAGCTGGGACGCCGCCCGAACCGCCATGAAGGGGTTTGGCAAGTGCGGAGGTGACATCGGCTCCGCAACACCTGGAGAAAACAAAAGAAAATTTGTTATTTATTTTTTATAAAGACACATCCTAGTATAACTCTAACCCTACGACTGTGGAAAAATAAAATAATGGGCCAGTGCTGAGAAGAGCAAGTAACTTAGCTACTGTTAACCTAAAAATCAGGTTATGCGAGGAGTTATAACGTATTTTATGCGAAGGATTTCCACAACAACCAGTGAGATAATAGAGTAAAAGTAACAAATTTAAGGTAAAATTAGGCAGTCAGTTTCACTTTTATTCAGAATCTTTCATTTGGAAATCTGAAAGTAAAATGAATAAAAGTGCACCAATCAACGGTGTCAGATTTCGTCGTTCGACATTTTCACCTCTAGTGAGTCATCTAAACTACCTTTACCAAACTACCTTTAGGGATAGATATTTATTCATTCATACAACTACATGAATGATTGCCTGTTACTTATATTAACTCAACCAAATTATAAAAATTACAATATTTACAGTCTGCTCACTTTTTGCTGTCTGTGTTAATGTTGTCTAGGAAGTAGTTACGTATTATTTTTAATTGGATCAATTTGTTGGATGTTACTTTTGACATTTGCATCAAAAATATCTAAGTGGGATTCCGTGCATTCATTTCCTAGAGGAAATCACTGAAGTGTCTACTTAAATAACAACATATCTAACTAAAGTTTTGTTACGAAACTAACAATTTAATACTCATACATCGCCCAAGGCAATAACCATCGTGTGCATTTAATGATGTTATTTGAATCCATTCGGTCGATTTATCTCTCGAATTAACAGCTTTAAGCGCTTTATTAAGTGCTGTGATAAAGATCGACGTGTTACAAGTGATCCGTTTTTCGACAGCAATCTATTTATTATTGAAGTATCGATTAGTTTTAAATCGCGTATATTCGAATCCGGATTTGCAGAAGGATGTTTGGTTAATAATTTTGATGATGCATCGATGGTACTGGTTCTATGAAGTGTTCAAGCAAACATTTGAAGTAATAATTTGAAAAGCCTGGTAACAATTTTCTTATAAATTATTAACAGTTTTGAAGGTTACTCTATCTATTTGTGTGTGGCTATATTTACGAATAAAGTGTATCCGAACAAATATTGTAGGAGTTATTACTCGTACTAGCTTCATTGTTATACGTATCAATATTAAATATTTTTTCTTTAGTAAAGATTCAAACCTATTTTTATCTTGTCATAACTTATGCATATGAACAAATTGCTTGTGTCACCGCCTTTTGTGTGTACATTTCTTTCAAGTGTAAGCACATTAGTCTTACGTGTAGTGACGCAACAAGTCTCTCATCTTCGTAGGGTAATTGATTTCGAAATTTTTAACACAAATGATCCGTGTAAACGATATCTAATAGAATAGTCAGGTGGTTATCGATAGGTATAATTAATAACTCCAAGTGTTGGGATAATTTCTCGGATGGAACACAGACGCGTGACAAATTAGTCATGATGATGAATGAATGAATGAATGCAGAGGGGTTTTTTGTACCTACTACATCAATGCACACGCGGAACTCAGCGAGGAGTGGGAGTGGGAACGATGGACGCCAACCGTTTGACAATGGCGATGTGTGTAAAACGTATGTGAAAGGTGATTAGCGAATCTAATGCTGAGTGGCACCATCTTAATTTAACTTTAACAAAGATCAAAAATCTGTCAAATTAAATACAAAAAACACCGGTTATTATTATAGTTACGGTTAAAGGAAGTTGATGCAACTCAGCCTAAGAATTTATAGTTAAATGGAAAGAATTGCAAGCAAGGTAGCTTAATTTCAAGCAACTGAAAGTAAATATTATTTAGTGAAAAAATGGGGATATGCGCTTTTACCCATATGTACAGAAACTAGGTTATATCGTAAGTCATAAGTAAGCACATTTTCTTAAATGAACTTTTACCTATCAGTTTTGCTTACGTATGATTTGTTTACACACAACTCTATCAATTGGAGAGTGGGGTGTTCAAATCACCACACCCTTTAGGCTTAAGCCTGTTCCTCTACAGAACGTGTATAGGCTTATTCCTTTCACTTTTATTTGTTTTATTTGGAACTTGGCATACTTTACAGAAAGTTTGTTCCATACTTTTCTCTAGATTGTATTACGCGATGTTATGTAAAAGTCCACTTCCGGAAGACCGGTTTTTGGCATATGTGCTTTTGACAAATCGCACGAAGCCTTGTTACAGCTTTTAAAAGAACAGGATTTAAGGAGTTCATTAGGTAGAGAAATGAGTGTAAACATTCATTAAACACTTTTGACAATTTATATCAGTTACCTGTAATTAATTTTAGACTTTATAAATATTTTCACTTTGAAGATTTGTATTTATGTGACATTTTGAAACCAGTTAGAAACGAGCAAAACATGAAAATGTTACATTCACAACTCGTGATTTGATACTCCTACGATTTGTTAGTCTTATAATTATTAAAAGACTTGTTTTAAATAACTGCGTATCATTAATTTCCTAATGGTGCAAGTCACCATTAGTTATTGAGGTAGTATAATAATGAGTCCGACTGTACAATACAAATCTCCAACGGTCTTATCATCAGTTGTCACTTGTCACACGGCCGAAGAAAGTGGCACCTCATAAATCAGAGAACGGCTCTGGCTTGGTCAAACAAAGGCCATAGCTTTTTGTTTAATCAGCCATACTTGAGGCTTGACATCTATCATGTAGAGTTATTGATGGTCGCCAAAATAAACGAGTTATGTAAGTAAGGAATCTATGATTAACGATTACTTTCTATGTAGGTATACCTGCTTTAAAATGCACTATAAAAATTACATATTAAACGCACATTTAGCTTAGGTACCACGAGGGGTTTACGGGACTTTTAGTTAGGTATTTGAATTTACAAAAAAAAATCTTAAAAAAAAGAATGCAGAATGTTTGTTATTAAAATTGAGGCCCTATTCTTTAACATAGGAAGTGAATATAAATTCCTCATAAAGCATCGCTGACATTCTAAATCCTTGAATTATTAAATTACTTGGCAAGTCTGACATGTTATTACACCTACCTACTTACTTGTTGCTATAAAAAGCATTGAAACAAAATACTGGTGCGCATACCTATGTACAAAACCAATTAAGCCCAAAAATGCGTATACGTTCGAGAGAAATACGTAGAAACTAAATATTTTGTAACGATATGCCCTTAAGTTTTCATAACATTTTTAATAACGAATTATAATATTTTATATGCCTACTCCCACGCATTGTAGATATTAATTTCTCAACAAGTTGAGGTTAAAATATTACTTAATTTAATAGAGCTAATCACTGTAACATCTAATTTACCTATGTACTTTGTGTTTTTCTAAAAACAAACTACTGCATTGCAGCAATTAATAAGTAATTTTTAATTCTTTAGATATCTCTTATCAAGAGAATAGAATTAGTTACATCTTATTAAGTATTTGTATACTTAGGCTGAGTTGCACCATCTAAATTTAACCGTGACAATCGTTAACAATAACTGACAAAATGTCTTCATCCAAATCATTGTTACCTGTGCATAAAAACAAAATCATGATTTGAAGCGTGTACAATACACACACTCAAAACATGTCAAGTTCACGAATCCGCCAACAATTCGTGAAAATCGTGAGCAATTGAAAAGATTGACAGCTCAACTGTTAGGTAATTCCATGATGATTGTTATCGTACATTAGATGTGTTTGTTCAATGGATGGAGGTCGGTTGTTAGCTTAAATGTTAAATAAGATTCGTACCTGTTTAGTACAGCCATGAGGTTTCTAAGGGCATATTAGGTAATGATATTTGTAGTTGTGCAATAATTTAGAAAGCGTATTAGTTTTTAAAGTCCCTTAAGTTGAACCCTGGGTTTAACCCTTTCTGGTAGGTGTAAACATATAATATAAACAAATGTTTCATATAAATAACCTTGCTCAATTCATCAGTCTGTCAACATCTGAGTTTTATTAAAGCTCCCTATGAGACTGTCATTAAAGTACAGTTTTTTCTATGCTTCATTACCTGCTCGCTTAAAGGGTTCAGCTCTCATAAATACACATATTATAGTGTTTATAGTGTTGTCTCTATGGAGGTACCTACACACCGTCGGTGGCGCACGTTGTTGCACTCTCTAGGGCTGCAGTACTTGCGGCAGTTGCTCGCTGACGTAGCTCTCATTAGCATCAAGTGTTATTGTTTCTATGGAGGTGTACTCACCGTCAGCGTAGTTGGGCGGCATGAGTCGAAGGAACACATCGCCCCGCCTGCCCCAAAGCCGGTGGCGTACGTTGTTTATCCCCACTGGGGCTGCGGTACTTTATCGGTGACGTAGCCCTCATCAATATCAAGTGTTATCTCTTTGAAGGCGTACTGCCTTCATGGACATCAAGGGTGTCTCTATTGAGGCTACTCACCGTCGGCGTAGTTGGGTGGCATGAGTCGCAGGAACACGTCGCCCCGCCTGCCCCAGGGCCGGTGGCGCACGTTGTTGCACTCCCCACTAGGGCTGTGGTACTGGCTCGCTGACATAGCTCTCATCATTATCAAGTGTTATCTCTATAGAGGCATACTGCTTGCATGCGTATCAAGGGTGTCTCTATAGAGGCTACTCACCGTCGGCGTAGTTGGGCGGCATGAGTCGCAGGAACACGTCGCCCCGCCTGCCCCAGGGCCGGTGGCGCACATTGTTGTACTCTCTAGGACTGTAGTACTTGATCGCTAACATATTAGCTCTCATCAGCAACAAGTCTTATTGTCTTTATAGAGGTATACTGCCTTCATACGCGGTACAATGCTATTGGGTACGGGCAGTACCCAAGGATTCAGTTGACTTATACGTTTTGGCGCGCTTTTAGCAGCTGAGCGAATAGATATCTAGTGAGTCTCTAATTCTCTATGGAGGGGTACTCACCGTCGGCGTAGTTGGGCGGCATGAGTCGTAGGAACACGTCGCCCCGCCTGCCCCAGGGCCGGTGCCGCACGTTGTTGCACTCCCCACTGGGGCTGCGATACTTGCTCGGTGGACATGGCACACTGCTGCCCTCGTCGGCATCTGATGAGCAGTTTTGTCTGCAAAAGAGGACCAGCATCAGTTCTATGGTTCTGAACAGCGAGGAAAATTCCTCCATGATGTATCTTTTAGATTTGTCTTTTATAATAAAATTGTCTTTGAGGTCTAAGATTGTACTTTGAAGATATTTTTACAAGAAGATAATAAGGTCAGTCCAGTGATCAGTTTGATTATTGTTTTTTTATATTTGTCCTTTAGAACCAGCAAGAAAACAAAATTGGTTTGGATGTAAATCGAACTTTATAATCTCTTAACTTAAGTGACTTTTGGCTGATTGTAACACCCAATTTGAAAAAAAAGTTGGTCATGATCATTGTACATAAAAATATGTCTTGCGAAATTTTATATTCCTAAAACAGCTAAATTCAATTAACATTTAACTTACGCATCATTAGCCCCAGCGAGGAACCTCCTCTCTAAGGCTAGCGCTTCGCTGACCGCCCGCCGGAGGTCGCTGGGCACCGTTTGGATGCTGTCGTCCTTGCTTTTCTGCGCGTGGGTTTGTGCTGCCGACACCACCGCCAAAAGCGCTAGACTTAGTCTAAACCTGCAACAAGAAGAAAAACTGGTTAATAACAGGTAGATGCATAATTTTGGCATATTAAAATGACGAAACTACTCATTCAAGAAAAATACGACGGATTTAATTAACCTTAACCAATTTTATGACGTCATTAAATTCGTTCATAACTTCAAAACATGAATACCTGGGCCACTCATCTATCCCTAATTTACCTTACAAGGTTCAATTTGGATCGACAAGTCGTTCAGGCAGGCAATTTACTGAGGTTTTCGAATATCGTTTAAATTACAGACGACTAAGGAATGCGGTGGATGTCGAGTATGTCGACACAGTTGATTGAGAGCTGATGATAACGTCCAACAAAGGTCGTTTGGAGCGACTCTATTAAAATAGGTGACAGATGAATTCATTAGGTAGATGGGGATTTTATATTTTAATGGACATGCTGTCAGGTTATGTGGTTTTAACATCTTCATCAGGCAAGCTTCAGTGGCCTGTTTAAAAATGAGAAGTGAGTAGATTTTGAGGTTTCATTCGGTCAAGCTTTTTTGTTTCAGGATTCGTACTAAGTACACATTTAGTAGGTACCTAAATGGTTTAATAAAATGGATTATTTTACATATGTATTCTATAAAAGTTCATTCAGCTTCTGCATGATTATTATTTGCAAAATTAGTGGGAGCTTATATTTTAATTTTAATTTGTCACTTTTATTTATAGATCCGTGAAAATATTCACGAAACTGAAGTCTGTTTTGTACACATAATAATATTCTGTGATGTCCACCGGATTACAATAATTTTATAATCTAATGGTAAACACGTGAGTGAGAGATATGATCTGCATCAAAAAATCATATCATATAAGAGGAACTCGTATGAAAAAGTCAGCTAATATTAAAATGCTACATGGCATCGAAAACATTTTGCAGTCTAAAAGTAGCGTCGGGTTTTGGCGAAATATATTTTCTTTTCTAGTTTTTTGGCTAGCAGATGATTTAAAGGTGCATGACCTTTAGCTTAGTCAAGTTCAAAAAACAGGGCACAATAGAGAACACTTTTGGTCACACATTAATAATTCAGTCCAGATAAGACTAAAAACTTTGCAAGTCTACATTAATCTTAAAACTTGTTTTTGGAAGAGACATTTCGATCCACTTCACTGAATAGAGGCTTTTAAAGTTTGTATATGTTACAGCTTCTGTGTGTCATCTGTTATTTTGCTAACAAAATAATCTAATTTGCTGTTGACAGTAGGTATACTATCTGTAAGCCTTGCAAAAAGGTCTATATTGAGACCATAAAGACTGCTATGCATTTCCGTCATTTCCTGATGTATAAAGAAGCCATTTATCTTGAACGTGCAATCAATTGGAACTAAATGAGTATACAGCGATGCATTATACTTCCATTGCTAGATCCATATCGAGAATGGGTTTATACGAGACATATAGGAAGTGTGGCCAGACCACATGTATACCGGACACCGCAACAAATGCTTTCGTTTTTATCTGGATCTCTTACGCCTATAGCGATCGGCTTTCTAGCCTTATGTCATTGACATTGTATAGACCAAAGATAATACACGTCTGCTCATGATCTATGACTATAACTTTGACCTTTAAATCGCCGTTTAACGATGAATTCCTGGGAAAAACTCACAAGGTTGTAATTATGGATCATCGTGGTTTTTGAAGGTGTGTAGGTAATTACTATCATCAGTATCGAATAAGTAACCATTTGTACAATAACAAATATGAGTATTGTGTTAATTACTTATGCAACCTTTGAAGCATTTAAGTTTCTTTAAACTGATGTCATAGCCTTGTTAGGTGCAAATGACTAAATCGTTGTTAGGGAATTTAAATAAACGAGTTTTCTTCTTTTCATGAAATTTTTCATCTCTTTGTAATCCATTTACATCAAAAATACTTTCTAAGTAATAAGTGAGTGTATAAAAAAACAAATCTCAGTCATGGTCAGCTCTTTAGATGAATGAAGATATCACAGCTAACAGTAGGTATATGAAAGAAAGTAAAAATATCTTACATGAGAAAATATCTAATTTGCACAACAATTCTCTGCGTTTTTAAGAAACTGTGGCGCAGTTTCACTGTTCTTATTTGTTGGTAAATTGTTCTAGCTTTTAGAGTCTTGCCTATGTATTTTCTGACTGATGCAATTATTTACGAAGTAAACAGGTAAGTTCTTCCATTGTTAATAAATCGCAAATTTTCTTATCGAGACTGTAACTCTTTGTGTAATTTATAAAGTTTACAACTAGGTTCTAGCCAAACATAGTTACTTAAAATGTATTAACAAAGGTTCATAAACGTTCACCGTTGAATGAAGTTATTTCTCGCAAGTCACCTTGAAAGGGAGTCTGCAGATCCGTAAATAGCGCGTGCATGATCACGAAATGTCATGTCGAACTTTCACATTTTGGATCCTGTGTTTAATGTTACTCGTGGGTAACAAAGAACTTGACGAAGTGTCATCAAGTTTTCAAAATGTTTTGGTTTCGAATTTTAAAGTTTTTTTCTATGTTGCACACTCATGTGTTTGTGTCATAACTTTTAATTTGTATTGAATTAACATGTATCTGTCCAGCTAGTTTGCTTCAAAGCATGTTAAGCTTAAAGTGTAAGAGTTATCGCCATTATTTAAATAAGGAGTCATATAAATAAGAATTACTTAATTTAAGATCAGTGAGGTTAATGATCTCCTGTATTTTTTTACATTTTTGATGCATTGATTTACAGGAGGCCTATATTTGAAGCATAAGAATTCCAGTCCATGCCCGACGGGAGGACATATTGAATAGAAAAGATTAGTGCGTTGTCGCATGCGAATTCGAAACCCATAGCGATAAAAATAAGTCCCTACAGTATCAATGTCAGTAATGTCACACGCAAATAAAGTGTGAACTGTAAATAGCCTCGATAATTTTGACATTAGTCAAGCGAAAGTGCGTTCGGTGAGCTGTACGTGACCGCGCGGTTTGAACACCCAAATAGCCCGCTACCAGCATTGGGCAAGGTCAAGTGGCGAAACGCAAACGAAACGGTTTTACTGGATGGGACATGCAACGTTTACCTTTTGAGTTAGTCGTTTAGGCCTTACGTGGCTGTAATGATGCCTGACTCTGGAAGTAGCGTGGCGTAACATGTGCCCCATCGGACCATATATGAAACAGGTTTCGGCAAAAACATAATAACACTCGTGTCTCAGACGGAATATCATCACTGGCGGGGTTTTATAAAAAAACGTTGACCATTATTATTTCGCTTCAGATTAGAATAATGATAGGGGTCGTTGACACGATTTCCAACTCGGTTGGTGATTTCTAAGGCTGATGCCCTTTACGGCAGAAATGCAGGATAAGGTATCAGAAATCTGCAAGTAATCCATTATTAATTACCAATAATAATTATTTTTCATAGCTGCATGCGTAGTCATTATTATAACACTTCCATTTATAAATCTATTTCGCTAAGGTGTAGATATTTATTCCGAAAAGCCATTGTTCTTTTGGGAAGGTTGCGACAGAGATCATGTGATTTGCTCAGAATGAGGCTTAACTAACGAACGCTATATGTTAGGCACACAAACAGGTAAAAAATTTAACTGGTATGAAACTAATATTAACTACTGTGAAGACTTGTGCAAAATTTTTTAAAGTACGCTTATAAAGTTCATTTTCTTGGTTTATTAAACCTCTTAAAATAACACTCATTTAAATTTTGAGAGCAGGTTGTTATTTATTGTCCCAAAACATACGTTGTTAAACGGGTCGAGGGTCCTCTCATTTTCTTTTTGGACAATTAAAAAGGACGCCAACTGGACTGGCAATTTAGGATTTGGTCGTGTTTTGGCAGCACAAAGTCACGCGAACGCTCGTTTTGTAAGCGCGATATAAAAGACATCAACGCTACCTTAAAATGCTTCTTCGAATTCACCTTATCTAAATCATTGAACCCACTTTAGTAGCAAGAAATAAACTGCATCTGATAACACAAACCTTTTTCGGAATTAGAGCCTTTAGTTTTATTATTCGGCAAATATTTTTTAGCGATCATCAATTTAATTTAAACTAAATTATGTGTTCAAATAATTAATTGGTGACAATGAAAAACATTGCTTTTTCGGTGGAAGGAACATATGTATGTAATATACGGCATTTAACTTGACATTATTATGTAGGTATGTCGTTTTTATCGTTCAAATATTTTTAAATCATCTTGGGAGGTATTTGTGTTGACAAAATTAGAATTGATTAACATATAATAATATGTTTTTGTATCGCATGGTCCGTTGAAACCGACACGGTTATGTCACGACGCAGTCTACTCAACCATGAAGAAGGAAAGCTATGTGTTTACACGTGTCACTCTATATGACGATAACGATATGAAATTGGCTTTGAATGAGTTATTTCTGCATGCGATAAAGCGCTGCATGAATGAGCCTTGTTTAATACCTACTCAGATATTGTTACTACTGTATTTATCACGTCAGTATAATTCTATAATGAGTACCTTTTTTATTTATCTGTAAGCATATTGTTCTAGATGGTAGTTCGGACAAGTATTTATAAGCTTTTGTTGCTTTCCAATCTTGAATCACCTTATTAGCCACAACTGACTGAATCCATATTTTTTAATTCACTACGCATTTGTAACTATCGAGTGGTTAACTCTTGCTTTCCATACTTTAATTAGCAGTAAAGTACAAAATCTGCTTACTTTGAGACTTAGAGAGAGTCGTCTTCCAGTAAAGACTAAAATACCTAATATAGGTGACGATGATGAGGTCTTTTATAAGTCGCTTAGTAGAGCTTTAGTTTCCTAGATTCTGTAAACATCAAACTGATTTATGTGTACGGAACAACAAAAGCTTCGTCGCAACGCGGTGACCTCACGCACGCGCCGCCTGGCGACCTTTGCAGACATCCTGTACCTCTAGTACGAAAAACTTTCGAGTTCGTTTCGTTTGCGTATTCAAAGTGTCATCGAAAAATTTTGT